GCTACACTTTTTATATTACAAAGGACAAACTTTTATATATTTTACAAATTACAAATGTTCACCTTCATTACATGTTGCCTGCAATTTTCAGTATGTACAAAACAGAATTCTCTACAATTCAGTTTTGTTAATACGTTTTATATACAATAGCTGTAAATGCACTTTGAGGCAAGTGTGTTTAAAATTATCAGAGCTAAGTTTTTATAGCTTTTATATGAGGCTTTGTTAAAATTATCATATCGTCATATCGTGATACATACCAACAAAAATCGTGATACATGCTGAGGCCCATATCGCCCAACCCTAGTGGAGAACATGGTCCACTCAGACTCGATGTCCCCCTCCTCTGCCGGGACCTGGGAGAAGCTTTCCCGGAGGTGAGAGTTGAAAGTCCGTCTGACAGGGGGCTCAGCGAGACGTTCCCAGCAGACCCTCACTACACGCTTGGGTCTGCCAGGTCTGACCGGCTTCTTCCCCTGCCAGAGGATCCAACTCACGACCAGGTGGTGATCGGTTGACAGCTCCGCCCCTCTTTTCACCCGAGTGTCCGAGACACGCGGTCGAAGGTCAGATGACACGACAACAAAGTCGATCATCGACCTCCGGCCTAGGGTGTCCTGGTGCCACGTGCACTGGTGGACACCCTTGTGCTCGAACATGGTGTTCGTGATGGACAAACTGTGACTAGCACAGAAGTCCAACAACTAAACACCGCTCGGGTTCAGATCAGGGGGACCGTTCTTCCCAATCACCCCTCTCCAAGTGTCACTGGCATTTCCTACATGGGCGTTGAAGTCCCCCAGGAGAAAAACTGAGTCCCCGTTCGGTGTACTGTCCAGTACTGTCCACTCCCAAGGACTCCAAAAAGGCTGGGTACTCTGCACTGCTGTTAGGTCAGTAGGCCGTCACCACAGTGACAGACTTGTCCCCCACCCGAAGGCAGAGGGACGCGAACCTCTCATTCACCGGGGATAACTCCAACACGTGGCGGCTGAGATGGGGGGCAATGAGTATGGCCACCCCTGCGAGAAATGCCAGAAAAGTGGAGCGTCCAACCCCCTCAAGGAGTTAGGTTCCAGAGCCCAAGCTGTGTGTGGAGATGAGGCCGACTATCTCTAGTCGGTATCACTCAACCTCCCCACGAGCTCGGGCTCCTTCCCCCCCAGTGAGGTGACGTTCCACTTCCCAACAGCCAGATGCCGTGTTTGCGGACTGGGTCGCCGAGGTCTAAGCCTTCGACCGCTGCCCAGTCCTCTCTGCACCGATGCCCCATGGATCCCTCTGCGGGTTGTGGGCCCACAGGAGGGGCTGCCCACGTCGTCCGTTCGGGCTGGGCCCGGCCGGGCCCCGTGGGCTAAGGCCCGGCCACCAGGCGCTCGCATTCGAGCCCCAACCCCAGGCCTGTCTTCAGGGTGGGGCCCCGGCTGCGCCATGTCAGGCGACGTCACATGTTTTTGTCTCGTGCTATCCATGGTGGCTTCGGACTGCTCTTCGTCTGACTCGTCACCCGAGACCTGTCTGCCATGGGAGACCCTACCAGGGGCATGAAGCCCCAGACAACATAGCTCCCAGGATCATCCAAGTACTCAAACTCCCCCACCACGTTAAGGTGGCAGTCCAGGGGGGTGGCTTCTAAAACTCAATTAAAAAAATAAAAAAACAGTAAACTCTACCACCAAGAGCTGCGTTTTGAACATTTTGCAGCACTTATACAAGAAGGGAAATGATTGATGGTGGTTAAAATACTTTTCATTTTGGAATTCTGAAAGGTTAAAACTAATTAAGAACTAATGTCTGTGTGAAGAGAATGTGAATAAGCAGCAGCATTACTGCAGCATTACTGAACAAACCCAACACCATCATTTACTGGCAACAGTGGGAATTGAAACCCTCAGTGCTAACGTTTTAATAAGTCCAGACACATTTATATGTATGAGTGTGATTGTACGAATGCAGTGTGACTGTAGAAATGCTCAGAGCTCATTTGGACATAATACATTTGTTGTGAAGGGCGTAAGGACCTCCACCGTCTGTCCATGTCGTAATAGAGATTCAGTGCAGCGGGTTCTGAGAGGGGAGCGGCCGAGTTAAATGCTCTGTTGATTCGCTGATGTCTATATTGATAAACTTAGTCATTTGTTATCATTTGTGGCCAGTGGTGTGTGTTTTGACAGGAGAAGAGAACCAGTACACAAAAAAGTGAATAGTTAGTATACAAAAACAAACAAGTGACATTAGAAAAATATCAGATAAGCAATTTTCCCTTTACCAAGTAGTTCTTTGAAAATCCAGATCTATTTTAGTCCCGTACACAAAAATGCCCTCTTTCTTGATCCCTTCAAATACTTTTCTTGACCTCTTCAAAAACTTTTACTTAAAATAAAAGACCTATTTTCTTCCAATTGAACAACTAGTTGCTTACTAGTCTTTACAGAAGTGCTTTTAAAGTTCATTTAAAAAAAACTTGCCTTTACCATCATTGCCCTATTCTTCACCAAGTTCAGTCATTTTTCTAAATCAAATATGTCAAAGAAATTTTGCTGGGGCTCCATTATGAAAGCGTCTTGAAGCATGTGGTCCACAGTCAGAGGAGAGTGCAGTATTCCCACATTTAAAATCACACTTGGTCAGCAATCTTCCTCTTATTCACTATTCTGCAAATACCATAGAAACCGCCAGCGGTAAAGTCTCAGTCTGTAAAATATGCAGTGAGAGTTGAAGAAGTGTGTGAGTCCTGATGAGAAGGTGAAACCTCAAGGGTCACATGAACACTTTTTAACCACGTGTTTAGTAGTTTATGAAGATTCATCTTGTCTTTTTAGCAGAATTAAAAGTTTAAGGTTCTTCTATACCAGACAATATAAGGTTTTATGATGTTTTTGCCTTAATGTTTCAACGGATATTTTCCGTCTTCCTCAGAAGCGTCTCTCGACGTCACACATGACGTGCCTTTTTCAGCTGCTGTTCCCAGGCACAGTCAACCCACCTATGTGGTTTACCGGGCTGACTGCGCACAGGTTTTAGCGTTGTCAGGGCACTAGAATATTAGAAGTAATCACTATCTGCTGGTCATTTGCAGAATGGCACAATTTCAATGAATAGGGGTGTGAAAAACATTAAGGCTTTTTCCCAGTTTGACTATTAATCAACAACTTTACAACAACTATACTTTTTAGCTTTTTAGCTGTATTACAAACTTGTTGAGTGGCACGGTGGCGCAGTGGCTAGGGATAGTGCTTCACAGTAGGGATGTAAAAAACTATGAATTTTCATGACCGACCACCGAGCCTCATTAACCGGTTGAAACCGGTTAACCGCGTAGTTTAAAATAGTCCACGTTCTTTGAAATAACAGCCATTTCGAGCCGCGTACTTTTCATAAGTGCAGCTCTGCGTTCTACTGGATCAGAGCCAAGACAGCGGCGCCCAAACCCGCAACAGCTCCGGCACCTTTGCGCACAGAGAACTGCTTTTTTAATCTTCCCATTCTGCTGTGCTGCGGGTTAATACCAAAACTTTCTAGCAGCAAACACGGCTCGTTCACATGGTCAGAGCAGCGAGTGACGAGCCGCGTCTCACAGGTCTTCACAAAAGTTTAAATACAAGTGATGTGTGTGGAGCTGATCCCGAGGACCATAAACACAAACATGTTCCATGTGGTTTGACTGGAGCCGCGTATTTGAGGATCCTTTGGGCTCCGTGACACAGGAGCGCGACAGACCGGTATGTGTGTGTGTATGTATGTGTGTATGTGTGTGTGTATGTGTGTGTGTATGTGTGTGTGTATGTATATGTGTGTGTGTGTAAATGTAAGCTCCAATGTAGTTCTGACCCGCGCCAGTGTGCAACTTTGACGGTAAAAGAGGGGAGAGATGATGCGTGTGGATGTTACGTATGGAGAGGGGGAAAGTGTGTGTGTGTGTGTGCGCGCGCGTGCGTGTGTGTATATGTGGCTCGTGCGGCGTGAGAGTCGTCCCGGAGTTTATAATACATGGGCGCACACAGCTAGATACAGACCCGCTCGTCACACCGTGCAAATAGGGCTTAAAATAGCTAAGAGACCTCCCCTCTCCCCTTTTTCTCTTTTTTAACCGACAGCTTTGACCGGTTAACGCTGTGACGGTCAACCACCGGTTAACCGGTCGCCGATTTACATCCCTACTTCACAGCAAGAAAGTTCTGGGTTTGATCCGACCACCAGGCCATTCTGAATGGAGATTACTCTGAATGGAGGGAACATTGTTGGGTGATCTAGACATTACTTACGTTCTCGTCTGGTGCACACTGGGGACTTTTTCACAAGTATTTCTATGTGGTTTTTCTGCAAATAGCAAATGGCAAATAAACTGAATCTGAATCTTATTTGAGTTTAAGTAAGATAATATTAGGATATTCTATGGAAATTCAATGTAATGCAAACAGTTGGATTGTTTGCATTGAATGGATGGACCCAAAATGCAGGAATGCAAAAAATGATAATTAAATTGACTTAAAAGTTGAGGGCGGAAACATAATAGAATAAAAGTACAAGGTAAAAACAAGTAAAAAATCCAATGGAACACGAGAACCAGGAAACCGACAGATGAGGACAGACAAAGACAATGGACCAACAACAAAAAAGAGAAAAAGCATAGGTACATATAGACACAGAAGTGATACACATGAGGACAGGGCAGACAATCCACACAGGGACAGGACAGGAAATACAACTAACCACAACGAAATTATGTCAAAAAAACAAGTACCAAAATTACAAAATCCACACCATGACACCTAGCCAAAAGGTTTATTTTGTGTGTGTCTATTGTGCATTGCCCCTGCTAAAATAAAGAGGGAAGTACCTGAATGAACTTAACCTTGTTTGTTCTGTAGCAAAAAGGTGCTTTGTCTTGTCTCACTTCAGGGGGACATTTGCATCCAGGCTGAGGTTAGATGGAAATGCCCTGGTTTTGCATGGGCCCCACTGATCTTAAACTAATGTTGTCCTTGTTGTAACCATAGGGGGCGCTGCAGCCACAGACCTGCTGCCTCAGGTGTGGAGATGTTCTGGAGTGGTCTGAGGAGAACAGGTTTGTCTCTGCTGTCTACGAACATTCACTGGTGTGTTATTGAAAGATCACATTTAGTTTTACAGATGACATTTCCTCAGATCACTTTTTTCCCAAACCAATATAAACAAAAAATGACAAGGCTAGCCCTTTAGTTTAGCCCTTACGTTTTAACAGCAAATGAAATGCAAATTATTTTATAATTTATGGTTAATGAGCTCTTAATTGTTTTATTTTTTATTTTTTGTTTACATTTTTGCATTAGTCCTTATTCTACATGGCCTTATTCAATATCTGACTAACTTCTAACTATGAAGTATGCCGTGATTTGGTTTGTGGTCACACAAACCAAATCAACATTTTACTTACACAAGACAAATGTAATAATGAAAATAGATTACTAGTAAATATATCAAAAGGTGTAAAAGAGGATTATACCGAATTTTAGAAAAGAAACGCCCTCTCCACTTTTTGAAAAAATCAGAATGATTCACAGTTAGGAGGACCAATAGTCTTGATGATCCACCCGGAAAAAGACAATCCACCTGCATCATTTTATTAATGTAGATCTTGTGGTCCTTACTCACCAGTTAGCTGATCACCCTCAAACACATTTTCAATCTGTTGATTTAACTTAACATTGCCTTAAGCCTCCGTCTACACCTGCGGACTGCCCTGCCTGACCCGCCTGGGAGTGCTTCAGTTCTGCACCAGACTGGTCCACGTTCTGTAGCTAGCTTAGGTCCTATCATTAGCCTGTCCGTCCGGAGGAGCGGATCCCTTTCTCAAATGGGTCTCCCTCCCTGTGGGTTTCCCTAGTTCTCCCCAAGGTTTCTCACTTTTTCCCACTGGGTTTTTTAAGAGTTTTTCCTTGTCGATGCAGGAGGGTCTTGTTGGACAGTTAGTGTCCAACAGAAAGGATTGGTGATGATCAGGACACTTTAGCATTCTACAAAATGTATGGACATTTTCTCCTGTGTGTGCTTTATATTCTTCATGTGTTTTAACTGTTGATTCTCTGACCTGTGTTGGTGATTTATACAAGAATAAATTGTATTGTAAATTGTATTAAGCTCCGCCCACATGACATCAATTAGCAATAGCCTCATTAACTGCAACATATAGCGAGAATTTTTGTCAATATACCCTATACGCTTTTTTTCTTTCCGCAGAGGAACACAAAGTACATAGAATGCACACAAAAAACCTCTTTTACCCTTACGGATATGTGGAGATAGAGGTTAGAATGACGAGCAGTGGTGGGACGAGGCACAGAGCAGAGTAAGTAACGTTGTGTTTTTATCCACACGAGCTGTGATCACCTCAGCAGTAGAGTCTGTGATGGGGTCACTACCAGCCTCTGTATCCAGCTCCATTATCCAAGGCCTCCATTTGCTGCTGTTTGGACTATTTTACTGAGAAATATACTCTTCAACTTTCCCTGAATCCAGAGCTACCACTATGTGCTAAGGGACACTAGGATTTTTATTTTTATGAATATAAAAGCACAGACAAAGCAATATTTCTGCCAGAACCTCTTCAGCTTTACTTAATAAAGCTCATCAGCTTAACAATAGTCTAATACAGTGGTTCCCAAAGGGGGATCCCGACCCCACCGCAGGGGTCACAAGATGATAGATGATTTAAAAAAAGAAAATAAAAAAAAGGTGTAACAAATATCTATCCCTTAAATATTTTTGTTGCTATTGATTTGATTCAATAGGACTACTTGTTGGATTGTGTTTGGAGAAGGTTTTGATAAGAAGATTTTATATTTTAATCCCATTTTTGATTTTGTACCAGACATTACGAGATTACGTCAATCAAAATCTAGTCCATACATTTAGTTACAGTAAAAAATACGTTGGTCAGATTCAACAATTCTTCAAGAAGTCATTGACGTCACCAGGTTTAATCCACTGGAAACTGGGAAATGTCTTTATTGTGCTGGTTAGTGCTGTGATGAGAGAACTCAGGGAACACCAAGTGCCGCAGTGGCTGCCCTGAGGCTCATGGAGTGATTGAATAATATGACATGAGAAGCGTCTCTGAGCTGTCCAAAAAAGCACTATACAAAACCGATGCATTATTTCTTACTGCCATCTTTATTTCCTACTATTACTTTATGTACCTCTTTTCCATATCTCTGCATTTTTGTGTTGATTTAGAGTACAATCTTAGCATTCTATTACATTTTATATGATGTAAATTGCCTGTTTCGGTGTTCAAAAGAAAAAAGTAAAAATAAAAACTTCTCTGGGCTCATACACATGCAGGTGCCAGAGCCTCTTAAATCCTCTCTCTCCTCAGTGTCCTGCTGGTCTGCTCCTGCTGCTCCCCTGTGGAGCCTCTGGTCAGTGAGGGCCGGGGCCGAAAGAAGAGCCACTGGACAGCAGGCCGAGTGGGCGACATCGACTTCAGGGGGCCCAACAAAACCAGAGGGAAGGTCAGACATGTTGTATTCTCAGACATGAGCCAACCCAACCAGGCCACCGGACCAACTGACAGTACTATGTCTTTTAGGGCTGCATGATATATCAAAAAAACATTGTCATTATTTTATTGTTATGTGCGATATCCATATCTAAAAGATGCGCAATCATTTTGAAATGTTTACAGTATGTTTAAATGTCTTGTAACGCGCACTTTGACAAATTTCCTACGACCTAGCACCACCACACGCTAGAGTGGAGCATGCAGAGAAACAAAACAAGAGGATGATAAAGATATGAATGCAGAAAAATGCAGACAATTGTAGAGAGAATTTTTTTTTCCAAAAAGACACTTTACCTCCAGCAGGTGGGACTTCTTTGCTCCTGTAGCAACATGTGAGAAAAGCTTTACAGTTCAAACTTTTAAACAAAGCTTTAACTGCAGCCATTACGTGATATATACCAAATTGTACACTCTCCGGTAATACTGTGTTAATGAAACAACAGGCAACTTTAGGCAAGATTTGAGGCTAATATGTGCCAAACTGCATTTGAAAGTAATTAATATTGCGATTCATTTTTAGAGATTTTTCCCTTGCGGTTCAATGCAGATTGCATTTTTAAGTGAAAGACAAAAATATTGCAATAATATCGTTATTGAAATTCTTAACACCCATATCAAATATTTCTCTATTTTCCAATATTGTGCATCTTTATATGTTTAGTCTAAAGGTCATTTATTTTGACATTTATGCCTCTGCTATAAAGTCTACCACTCTTTTCTTAGTTAGATTGGATTACATGGGGCGCATACAAGTTGAGTCTGATCCAAACTTGGTAATGGTTTGACTTGGCAATTCAATTAAAGTAATTTCTTAGTAGATGCTAAAAAAAAAAAAAGACGCCACCAATATAATTTTTTGTCCTAGAGCTACAAGACGTACACATATTTGTCACTTCAATAAAAGATAAATATTTTCTTAAGGCCACGCCCCCGGACAAACAGATTTGTCTCAAAATTGCTCGACATCGTCTGAACACATGTTGCATCTAAAATTATCCATATAATTGTTATCGGTTGAACAACGGACGAGCTGCGTGACAAGCAATTTTGCCACATTTGTATGTACAATACAATCTGTCTGTTTGAGTTACACCAAAGGACTTGAACCCAGTGTTTGTTTTTTTTTCAGTTTGTGCGAGTGAAGAGCAACACAGACCCAGTGGAGATATACCGCATGCTGACCAAGGACTGGGGCCTGGCACCGCCTCACTTGGTGGTGGCGCTGGTGGGAGGTGATGAGGTGGCTCAGATGAAGCCCTGGCTCAGAGACACTCTGCGGAAGGGTCTGGTGAAGGCGGCTCAGAGCACAGGTACATACTGCACCCACCTCTCAGACCCCCACACATACTGCACCCACCTCTCAGACCCCCACACATCCTACACCCACCTCTCAGACCCCCACACATCCTACACCCACCTCTCAGACCCCCACATACTGCACCCACCGCTCAGACCCCCACATACTGCACCCACCTCTCAGACCCCCACATACTGCACCCACCTCTCAGACCCCCACACATCCTACACCCACCGCTCAGACCCCCACATACTGCACCCACCTCTCAGACCCCCACATACTGCACCCACCTCTCAGACCCCCACATACTGCACCCACCTCTTAGACCCCCACATACTGCACCCACCTCTCAGACACCCACATACTGCACCCACCTCTCAGACCCCCACATACTGCACCCACCTCTCAGACCCCCACATACTGCACCCACCTCTCAGACCCCCACACATACTGCACTCACCTCTCAGACACCCACATACTACACCCACCTCTTAGACCCCCACATTCTGCACCCACCTCTCAGACACCCACATACTACACCCACCTCTCAGACCCCCACATACTGCACCCACCTCTCAGACCCCCACATACTACACCCACCTCTCAGACCCCCACATACTTCACACCAGCATCTAAACAGAGATATTGATGACTGTCATTGACCAATCACAGGCTGTAATCAGGTAAACATTTGGAAACGCAACAGATTCATAAAGTGCTCACCATGTGTGTGTTGGACTAATGGGCGGCACGGTGGCTGAGTGGATAGCACTCTCGCCTCTCAGCAAGAAGGTCATGGGTTCGAATCCCGGTCGGAACAGGGCCTTTCTGAGTAAAGTTTGCATGTTCTCCCCGTGTCTGCGTAGGTTTCCTCCGGGTACTCCGGTTTCCCCTACCACTAAAAACATGTACAATAGGTCTAACCCTGCTCCCATCTCTGTGTGGAGTGAGAAACAAATGCCCAAAATTAACAATTGTAAACCGCTTTGAGACTCAGCTCTGCAGTGAAAAGGCAGTATATAAATAAAGATTACTTACTTACTAAAGTTTGCATGTTCTCCCCGTGTCTGCGTAGGTTTCCTCAGGGTACTCTGGTTTCCCCTTCCACTAAAAACATGTACAATAGTTCAGGGTTTTTGAGTGTGAATGTGGGACAACGGATGCAAATTAGCCCATGGCTACAATCCGGAGTGATGTGTTCATTAACATGTACAGGTTTCTTTGGACTTTCAGTTTTCTCTGTGCAGATATTATTCCCACTTGTAATTACAGTAACACGACAGGGCTTCAGCTTCACTGCAGAAGATCCTAAATAGATTCAGTTTGTCTAATGTAACAGCTCACAACTTCTGACCACGTAAAAGTTGTTTCCCTCGTCATTTAAAGACGCGTTGAAAGACAAATCTCTGCTCAATTTGAACAGAAAATGAAGATCTATTCTATTCTATACTGTATTTGAGCATTTCTATTTTCTTACACCTGACCCTCCCTTTCTGCCGACCTCCACAGATCCAAAGCCGCTGTTCTCACAAACTTTGGTCACCGATTCACGTTTCTCACTCTCCTTCAACAGGTGCCAGATGTATCTGTGTTTTGTCGTTAAAGAAATAGACCAGGGTTCTCCTGTATGGCCCTACTCCCATCTCTGTGTGGAGTGAGAGACAAGTGGTCACAACAATTGTAAAACTTTTTGTGACTCTGGCCTGTGACAAAGAACCTATAAGAATAAAGATGAGTTACTTACTTATTGTAATATTTCTCCTTTAACTCTTCTATAAAGTTGCAAGTCAATAAACAAAACAAATATGACAGAGAGGATCAGTGGAGCTGACAAAGTCTCTGTTGCCGCTCAGAAAATAAACTATACATGTTCATTTATGACTAATTTTAGAAGGAAAATGAGCTTTAAATGAGGTTGTTTTTCTTAATGATTCCAGATGGCTCAGTCCCACTGCTATGTGTCATGTCAGAGCAGCATTTTCATATTCAAATGTATGGCATCTATTTCACAAGTTTTTGCATAGCCATCCAGCCCTTCCTCAAACAAACCAGGGTACTTTATGACAGATTCATATGTTCAATCAATCAATCTGTATTTGTAGGTTATTTTATTGCACCTTTCCTACACAGGGCAACACAAAGCTCTTCACAGTCTACATCAACAAGGCACAAATCATCACATAAAACACCAAAATCACAGATAAAAACACAATTAAAATCACAGTAATTAAAACCGTAACATTTTTTAAATCACACAAAATCTGTTCCTTCTGGTGTTCCTCAGGGGCCTGGATTCTGACCAATGGTTTTCGCTTCGGCATCACGAAGCACCTGGGCCAGGCGGTGAGGGACCACTCTCTGGCCAGTACCTCATCCAAAGTTCGGGTTGTGGCGATCGGAATCTCCCCTTGGAACATGATCCACAACCGGGAGGCGCTGCTCCAGACTCACGTGAGAACAGTCTATACATTGTGGCGATAATGTAGGTCACATTTCTGTCGGATCGGGCACTGAGACGGTATATGGTTTGACAATGCTCTATGAAGCAATAGGGAACGCTGCAAGAAATGATAAAATTATGTTATAATGCTTGAATTTAGTGGGTGGGGTTAATTAATGGGCTTAATTTGAGTATATTCTGACCTTTGGTGACCATTGCTTCATTTTCTCATTCAAAGGGAGACAATTCTTATTTTTTTTAATCAAAACAATTTGTCTTTGTCCCATTGGCAAATGTTGTTTTAAAGCAGTCAGAATGTAGCATGACTCTCGCCAGACCCATGTAGTTCGCTGCACTTCACACAGGTTCAGCCAAACGCCTCTGGTGGAGCATGGCGGAACTACAAGGGTCTGGCGAGAGTCAGGCTAGTCAGAATGTGCTCAAATTAAGATACACATATCTTGCACTTGTTTCCTTTACTTTTTTTTACTTGTTTTATTCCTGTACTTGTCTAGTGCACACTGGGGACTTTTTCACTTGTTTTGATTTTGATTGATTTGTTGATTGTTTTAGTCATTCGAGCAGAAAAGTTACAATCATAAGTATTTACATCTACATCCCTTAGTTTACATAACTTCTGTGCCTACAGTCTATACTTATACATGCAAATATATAAACATAACTATACAATCAAGTAACAATAATTCCCCTGGTTTCACCATGTGTTACTATCTAAAATATCCATGTGTATTTACAAATTAACCCCTATTTACAATTTGTCATCTCAAAATGTGCTTTTCCAATGTGCTTTTACTGCAAAAGGCAAATACAATAAATTTGAATCTGAATCGAGAAGCAGACTTTTCCTATACCACTATGAATTACGTTATAGTCTTCCTGAAGATGTAAGACAGGCCTCCTCTCTGACAATGTTTAAAACCAGGTTAAAAACAGTGCTGTTTAGCTGTGCATACAACAAATTTTATGTTTTTATCTTTCTTTTTAATGTTCTGTAATTATTTATGATTTTAATGCTATCTTGTTCAGCACTTTGAGTTGCCTTGTGTATGAATTGTGCTATACAAATAAACTTGCCTTGCCTTGCCATTGCGATTGCTGAATTGACTTCTTTATTTTTATGTTTGTCCATGTTTTTTTTCTAGGGGGATGAGCCAGCTGCCTACAAACCCCAGGACCTGCCCCATGGGTCGGTCTACTCCTTGGACAGTAACCACTCCCACTTCGTCCTGGTGGAGGAGGACCCCAACAAGACCGGGGCCACCAGCGAGATGAGGGTCAAGCTACTGAAGCACATTTCTCTGCAGCGAACAGGATACGGAGGTACGGTCAGAGATCCTGTTACTTCTCTGGCTCGGGAGTAGCCGCAAAGACTGAGACTGAGGTTACTGGTGGTAATATCTAAATTTGAAAAAAAAAAAAACCTTAAGACTTGTTTCACTGGAGATTTTCTACTCTGAGATATTGTTTCATATTCAAAAACATGGCAAATGGCAAAGTAAAAACTCGGATTAGCATTTTAATGGCCAAAACTAAAGGATAATAGTTTGTATTTAAAACAGTTCATTTTAAAACATTGAAGCTAAGAAATAGGTTCGGGCTTTCTGACAGACACTTTCCTCACATCCATAATTATTCATTGTGTATTCTGTGTATTTAGAAGCAACGTTTCTATCAATACCTCATATACCATAATCGCTTGCATTTGCTCGACATTGTTGTTGGCATTAAGCTGTAATTACTGTATGTATTGTTGCATGAATAGACAAAGAAATATGCTTCAACGTTCAATAGCAAACAGAGGTATTTATGCAATCAAAAATAAACAATGTACCGGTAAGCAGACATGTAAAACTGATGTAATCAGTTTGAAGAAAAGAGATTCAAGCTTTGTTCATATTGTGCTTTTGTTGCACTGCTGTCTGGAAGCATCTCTGTGCCACTGTTCCCAAGGCTAAGAGTATGACCCGAAACTGTGGCACAGCGCCGCCATCTTGAACTGAACGCAACACAACTGTCAAAAAACAAAGGAGCAGTTCAGAAACCAGCAAAATAATGCTTGTTTTTTATGAAATACTTTGGTCAGAGGACATTTATTTACACACACAGCAAACAAATGAAACAGGGCTTTAGATGACACCGCACACACTGGAGCTGTTGACACTGTATTCACAAACATGGAATAAACTTTTGTCTAAAGTCTGAAGAAACGCAACTCGGCTTCATTCAACTCTGTTCCGTTCACATCAAGACTGTGGATATATTTTAAAGGAGCCACAGCAGAGTTTTAAAACAGCTCATGGCTTTAAAGTCTAAATATTATCAATTTAATTTTATAGCGTCTGAATCTATCGGCTGTTGTCAAAGTGGCAACAGAGTTTTGTCTCTTTGCCCAAAGTGGTACAGGGATCCACAGAGGTACGTACGGTATTACAGAGGGTATTACTTTAAATGATTATTAAAAAATTACTAAATTTGAAAGTTACAGTTTATTAAGGATTTAACCTCTAATGCCTGTGTGAATAAAACCTTTCTTGTATTTATGTTATCAATTTGTGTGGTCCTGTACCTGTTGAATTTGTTCAATTCATCTTATTTTTGTATATCCCTAAATCACAACAGTATGATCGTTTCTCCGAGGACTTTACAAAACTGTGGATTGGTCAACACAGATCAGAGAATCAAACACTGGAAATGCAATGATAAAACAGAGTCATTGGTCCATATATAAGGGGCAGGGATCAAAATCCATACATTTGAATAAATGCCCATAAATATTGCTGATTGTTAAAAATCCTGGATCATCACCACTGTCCTTAGACCAGGTGTCTCCTATCTTCCCAAAGAGAGCTACTTTCCTGGGACGATACAGGCAGAGAGTTCCTCCTTTAATTTAAGCTGCCCTGAGGGGAAAAATGGTGATATATTGGTTTGAACAAGCCAGAGAATGGGTACAGTAATTATGTATCATTGCATTTGTGTTACTTGTGCACAAAGTAAGTGCATTTACAATCATAAATAATGATATTAAATACTACCATCTGAAATATTAGGTATGGGAGCTACAGGTTGGAGACCCCTGCCTCAGACCCTCTTGACAAAGTTTCCTATGAACTTTCTGTCACTATTGTAGCTAAAGGGTTAATCCCGAAGGATATAAGTGTATTGATGAAATCCAAAACAAGTGAAGTACTGCAGCTTTTGAGCACGTGTCAACAATAGAGATTTTCTGCGAACAGATCGTCCGTGTATCCTTTCTGGCAGATCCTGTTTGTTTTTCTCCACATTGAACAGCTCTTTTCTCATATCTATTATTTCTCAGCTGCTTCTCTCTGAAAACAAATCCACAGAGTTGCTTACGTTCAATCAATAAAGCCTTTAACATCTCACTCTTTTCCCACAGACTTCCCTGAGCCTAAACAAACAGAACAATTCAATACAATTAATAAAATATAAGGAACATGTTCATTAAAAAAAAAAATCATATACTTTATTGCGTCATCTTCATTAGTTCACACTATTTTCCCATAAAACATTGAAGGTAAGGAGAAGCATTTTATTTTATCCCCCACTATTCTCCACTTGTGGCAAAAAAAAGAAAAAAAGGAATAAAATAAAGACACAAGCAAGAAAAAAACAATAAAATAAATGCAAATAAATATAAAGAAACATCAATTTCAATTTAATTCACAACCGCTGTGGTTTGCCAACAACAGATCAGAGAATCAAAATAACAAACACATAGGCACCATTGGTCCATAGGGAGATGACCAATGTCCATAAATGTTAATACATGTGTTATAAATGTGAGTAACTAAGTAGTGGCAGTGTATTTATAGTATTTATAGTGCTTTTCATAAATTACAAACTGCAAACAGGAAGATTTGTCCGGCCGATATCAAACATGGATCATCACCTCCGTCAAGGCCCAACATTCAGTTGTATTTGAATCTTGAATGCACAAAGAAAACGCTGCATACACTGTTCCTCTATGTTGTTTGTACGTAAATCCAAATGAATTAGAATATGTAGAATTTAAAACCGACATCGACTATGGGTCAAGCAGGAATCTTAACAATTGTAATGAGTAATTGAGTCGAACAAACCCATTGACAGAAATAAAAAAAGGAAATACAATTATTCAAACTAATTTAACAGAGATACTGTGAGAATTAGTCTAGTTTTAGTTCACTCATTTAACAGGGCTTAAAGCTGGAATAAGGCACTTGTATGTCAAAATGTCATGTTGTATTGTGCGTTGTACTGTGTGTTGTGTTGTTGCAGGCGCTGGGAGTTTTGAGATTCCGGTTTTGTGCCTCTTGGTCCATGGAGAGCCCAGGATCCTAAAGGTCAGTGAGTTTTTAATGGAGCTTATTAACACATCATTCGGATTGCACTGAGATCTGGAGTAGTGCGAACTCACCATCTCTGAACTCTACAGTAATTATATCTGAGCTGGTGTGAAGACAAGTCTGCTGGCTCCCTAATCTTTCGCACAATGACAAAAATAGTCTTTATAGAAGGGTGAACATCTGTTCAAAAGTCATAGGAGTTGGACAGAGGGAACTGTCAGCGCTCTGTAACCAGCAGATGGTGAGAAAGGCTCGCATCATAATGGTGTCCACTGATCATGTTTGGAATGAGATTACTTCCCATGAGGACGACATTATGTTGCACCATATTGTAAAACCAATCGTCATTTAAAATCTTTTGTCCCAACTGCTTTCACACTGCTGAACTCTCTGTAGCTGTTGGTGATGTGGACTTTGATCTTTGAGCTTTATTGTCGAATAATGCTCATATTGTCACGTTCTGAAAACGAAGGACCCAAAATGCAGGACTGCCAAAATAGTGGATTTAATAAAAAGTAATACAAAACAAGATCTAGCAAAAAACACAGGGAACGAGGACAGAACTGAAACAGACGAGGACTGACAATGACGGAACAGGGAGTGAAGGAACACACAGGGCTAAATACAAGACTAACTAGACACGGGTGATACACATGAGGGCAGGGCAGGTAATCAAACAGGAAGTACAACCAAAGAAGACACAGGGATTTAACAAACTACAAAATAAAACAGGAAATAAATCTAAACCATGACACATATGTTTGTAAGGGGCTCCACTTCCTGTCATATCACTTATTTCCTGTATTTTTAAGTTATTTATTTATTTTGTATTTAGTTTTTTTATGTGCTGCTCAAATGAACTGCCTCTGGTGGGAGAAATAAAGCAGTCTGAATCTGAAGTCTGCAGGTGCAAAATACCTGGAAATTATTCATGATTTATTTTCACATCAAACAGTTAGCTGAGTCTGTAAAGCATGCAGGTATGTTGCTTAATGTTGTCAATTCACACAAATGTCTAGAACAAAAACATGCAAATAATGGTCCCACTCTAGTTTAGCCCTTAATTATCTGCTAATTACTGTATATTTTATAGTTATTTATCTATTAATTGGTGTATATAAGCGCTTATTGATCTTTATTACACATGTCCATATTTATTTCAATTGTGGGCATGACAATACATCACATTTTACATCTGAAAAGGAGCAGAAAGAAGAAAAAAATCTTTCAGCAGAAGAGTCATTATAAGTGCAGTGCAGAAGTGCAGTATTCTCTAAAAATGGCAGATCAATAAAAAAATATTGATATAAACAGATGATATGAAAAGTAATCTTTCTCATTCACCAATTGTGAATACTTCAAATGATGCTGCTTTCATAAAATGTCATGCAATATATTAACTTTTTAGACCAAGTCCAGCAGTGGATATCTCAATATTTGTTGTTTTCAATTTTCAAACTGAATTATGTCAAAATTATTGTTATTGTCTTTGTGTACCAACCATTTTTGGCCCCTATTGCATGAGTCTTTACCTCAGAAAAAACGGTTCTTGTTGCAAAGCTTTCGTGAACTCTCTCATCTTTGGCCTGGTTTGCTCTCATCTCAATTGTTTGGTTTTTGATTCGCCGCCTCTCCTTCACAAAGGCTGAGGATGGAGGGTTTCCGCTCTCGGTGAAGTAAACGGTTTGGCGTTGCTTCTGTTTATTTGCATCCTTCCGAGCTGCAGACTAAGAGATTATGGAAAGTAGCAAACTCTGGAATCCAAGAAATATCCGAACAGAAAGAAATGTTTAATCTAATCTGTGTTTGTTAGAGTCTCTATAAACTGTTTACCGAGTATTTGTCCAAGACTTTTCAGTATGTTTGCCTCTGCTCATGTGTGTTCGTACAGATGGCTCTTTGGAATATCAATCTCGAGTTTCTTGCGTACATATTTTATTAACATAGATTCTTCATATTGCTTGGTCAGTAAATGGAGCAAGATCACATGAGGAGAAAATATATAAAATCGTATAAAAACATACATACAGACCATAAAGGCGTTCAATGTGGAAGGTTTAGGTGAATATCCTGTTTTGTCAACCCCCGTCTTCTTTAGTCCTACTTCCTGTTGTGTGATAACATGCCCCGCCCTCAAGTGTATCACCTGTATCTATAAGTATCCTGGGCTCAAACCCATGTGTCAAAGTATGTCCAAGTTCCTGATTTTTTAGTATGTTTGTTAACTTACTTTCAAACATTATAAGTTCTTCAAAGTTCACTGCAAAAGGCTATACAAAAAAATAAGTCAAAAATTCGCTGAATGTATCTTATGGTAGCAAAATGTAAGATTTTCATGTCAAGTCATCATTAAATGGCCCTAACAAATAAAACAGGCTCTTTTCGAATTATTCTTCTTTTAAAATTTCAAAAAGCCCCTAAATGTTGTTATTGTTTTAATTTCAATGTCCCGCCCTCCATCATTTTACCAATCAGAAAGTCCGGGTCGCCAGAACTCTCCACGTCGAGCTAATCTCACTGGTAAAGTAACATGTGGCCGCAGAGCTAAAAAATGTCTCGTTTTGATTCACTAAAAAATAATGACAAAACAAGGAATAAAACCAGGATTTCTATCTTTGTGAAAAAAATTGCTGGTTATAGATATGTTGATGACAAAACTCTTTATTCAGATATTATGGTCCCAGCTGGATTAATCTGCATATCTGGCAACCTGAGTCAGGGAGAGTGCAGTACCACTTTTGGCCAGATTTTTACATACTGCTCCTTTAATCTGAACAAAACAAGATGATCTTGTTTGAAAAAGACACAAGAACTGTCTCCCTTGGAATGAAAAAATAAAGCAACAGTTCTTGAAATAAAACTAAATGGCTTTGTCCCATTGGCAAATCACAACACAATCAGAATGTGCTCAGATTAAGAGCTCGGTTCAAGATATTTTTACCTCATATTTATCATTTCTTTGCAGTGTTGATTGTGTGCATGACATGTTGTTGGCTCTCAATGGTGGTCACGGTAACAAAACAGGGGTTCTGTTTGTTCCTGTGCAGAGAATGTACAAAGGCATTGGTGACTCCACGCCCTGGCTGATCCTGGCGGGCTCTGGGGGCGTGGCCGACATCCTGGTCTCGCTCATGAACCGCGGGAGCTGGGACCGTGACAGTGTGCACGAGCTGCTGATGGAGACCTTCCCCCAGGCTCACCACAGCATCGACGTCACCAGCTGGGTCAAACTGGTGAGAGGCCTAAGCAGACGAACACATGTGGAAGATTAAGATTAAGATTAAATTAAGATTAAGAGATCCTTTATTTGTCCCACAGTGGGGAAATTTCGGTGTTGCATCACAGGTTATAGGACAGTAGGAAAGAGGAGCACACAGCACACGTTAAGTGAAAAATAGCTATACTAAACAAAATAAAAAATAGTCTAACTCTAGCATCAATAATAAGTATAAAATCTCTATCTTGAAAATATAATAGATGTAAAAATGTAAAATTGACAAAATAAGAGGCAAGTATAAAGTACTGTGTAATCTAGTGCAAGTGTAGTTATATGTTAGCATCTGTACGTTAGCAGCAGTATGTTTACATCTGTATATGTTAGCAGCAGTATGTTTACATCTGTACATTAGCAGCAGTATGTTTACATCTGTACATTAGCAGCAGCATTACAGGTACTATGGCAACTAAAGCAACTATGGCATGTTATACCTAATTGTAAAGTTTAGTTTATCAGTTTTCCAATGAATATGTTCTAAAATGTTAACTAAATGTAATTAGAAGTTAAGTTAAGGCCAAAGATATATTTATCTATATTTAACTATCTACCTTCAATTACATCTTTTTAATAAATGGCCCAGTTGTGATTGAATTCAAACCAACCAGAAAAATAATAGAATATTATAAATGATAATCAAATTAAACCACTTCCACACTTTTGGCCCCAACCAGTGTTTTTACACATGCCCCTAAATGAGTTTGACACCTCTGTAGATCATTGTACTATTCTCCATGAGCAAAGATAGAAAGAAAACAAACATATTCTTAATGATGTGTCTAATTCTTAACCAAAGCCAATAGCCTTGTTGGCACTAAACGTATTATGAAAGCAAAAAAGTGAGTGAAATTAGTTCTGCTGATGAGCTGCACAGCATGGGGCGCCTAATAAGATCACACGGGTTTAATAAGAGCCAGTTTCAGCTGCGGAGTGCGAGATTGCATGTGATGACCCAGTTATGAACGAAACAGGACGAAACACTGGAGTCATTCTGAACACGGAATAGGTTTTTTTTCTCATAGTGAATTTAAAACAGAGGCCATCGCAATTCTCTCGTCATATTATGTATAGGCCAGGTTTATTGAAACATATTGTCTACAGCAGGAGTTAGCCCAGGGACAAGACTGTGTTTACTTTGCTTATTTCTCTAAATCTCCTCTGGCAAACTTAATATTCCAGAGTATTGGGTTTTATGCAATAGTCATAGATTATTCCAGGTTCAAAGTGGGGCCTCAGGGCAAATCATGGCCCAAGGTGTCCGCTTGTGCCCTGAGGGGTGCATACGAAAAGAAAAAAAAACATATTATTAATATTATTTTTTTGCACTGACTGTATTTGTATAACACAGTTCATACACAAGCAAATCAAAGAGCTTCACAAAACAAGACAAGAAAGTTTAAAATCATACACAGCTGAACGATAAATAATAACAGTGCATTAAAAAGAGTGAAGATAAAATCCTTCAGTTTTAACCTGGATTTAAACGTTGTTGGTGTAGAAGCCTGTCTCATATTTTTAGGAAGACTGTGGCGTTCGTTGTGGCAAGTTCCCATAAAAAGCACAAATTCAAAGATAATTTAGTCATACAAATATAAGAAATAAGAAATCTTTTTGCTTTGTCATGTAATGTTTTAGATTAAAAATGTGAAATAATATTGTCAAAAATATGATATATATTGGTGGAACATGAAGGATTACTTAATGCATTCCACCAGCAACTCCCTGTGCGACCACCAGAGGGAGGGCTACAATTTGCATTGAAGACATTTGAAAATATAGATTGTAAAGAACATCATTTGGATTGAAGAATTGCCTAAACGTTTGCATGGGCACTGTGTTTGTTTTACATAGTAATGAATGAATGAACGTATTTCAAGACTGACACTGAGTTGGCGTCACACGTTTGTGCCAGAAGTTCCTGATATTCACGTGGATGGATATAAAAACAACTCTAGGTCTATTTTGTATAAGGAACAATGTTGTAACACGGTTGAAAACTCAAAAAAGTCAATCTTCTTTTAGATCCAAATGTAAATGGCCCTTCTTAATTAACTACAGCAGAGTGGGTTGTAATTATCCCATTCAAAAATATATATTTAATTGAGTAAAAATTGGAAGCTCTGAGTCCAAGTCGAGTCCCGAGATACTGATGTTTCACATTGAGGAGGAAATGCCAAAAACAGTGCTTAAGAAAAAAAATGGGTGAAAGCTTTTGGCACCTCATGTCGACTATACTTCCGGTTGAGTGAACGCTGGCTTTGGATGCCGCTGCTCACCGGACTGTTTTCATTAACCCTCATTTCAGGATGTTGTGAATCATTTGTGGCTAAGAAAAGGATGGGCAACTACTTTTTACAGGGGGCCGGGTCAAAATTTTGAACTAAAACTTACATAATATTAGTTATGTAGTTAGTATATATTATAAATAATCAATATAAATGTTTTGAAAAGATGGGGCAACAGTGGCTTTGAGCCTGAAGGTCGTGGGTTCGAGCCCACCATGAAAACCTTCTCCACCGACTCCCACTGATGACTGCTGTCGTTGTGTCCTTGGGCAAGACACTTAACCCCACTTTGCCTGAAGCCCCCGCTGAAAGATCTCGGCTCCTGTGGACTCACCACCTGCAGGAGGATCAGTGAGGGGCTGGTGCTCTGTGGACTGTGTGGCATCTCTGGCCGCTCCCCCGACCCAGAAATGGATTAAGGGGTAGAAAATAAATGGATAGCCGGATGTTTTGAAAATATGGTTAAAGACCTTATGCCGGGTTTGATTTATTTAGAAATACAGTTTTAATACCATTTTATATTAGAAGAGAACTACTAAAGGTTTCAAAATCAATTGTTGTTTTTTTTGTCTGATCCCCCAAATCAAAATAACCCCATAGCAACGCCCTTAGAGACGAAAAAACTTCACAGCCCTTGGTGACGTCAGAGCGGGTACGTTTCAACTCTGTAAGTTGTTTACAATTTGGTATTCGTTCTTTTTTCGTAGATATTCAAGATGACAAGGCCGTGTACAGCGAGTATGATATAACTACTACATTTTAATTGTTTGTTGGCACTGAGATAGTCCAGTGGTTGTGTCGATGGACTGCCAATCCAGAAACTGGGGTTCCAATCCCAGCTCCGACACCTTTTCACTCTCAAAAGGGCAATGTATGTGTAGTGAGCAATTGTCACCTGTAGAGTGCAGTATTGTGTTGGGCATCAGTGGAGAGAAGAGAGAAAAGGCAGTCCTGTGGCATAGATCCATGGTTTTCAATGCATGGGCGTTACCCGCTATGACGTCACACACAGGTTAGAGCATAGACAACTTAAATTCATGAAAAACACGTTCTTTTTATAAAATATAGGATTTTTTTTGCCAGAATCTATTTCAGATTGACATTGTCATGCAATTTTGATATCGACAAATTTTATTTTTTTTTAAACCCGGCATAAGGTCTTTAATGTAGTATTACAACCAGAAAACTATGAAAGAGTGAGTTTGCCTTACAAATATTCAGTGAAGTTTCCCGAAGATAAAAGTCATGTTACTTTTGCAACGTATCTACTGTGCTTGATGTCCTCGCCTCTTCACCATCATTCAAGTTTCTCTGCTTTGTTTGGTGCAGAGTCACAGTGTTCTCCTTAAAGATCAAGCACCTGTGCCCAGTCATACTCATATGAACATTTGAAAATTCTCTGTAAAAATTGAGTTCCCGGCGCACCAGGGGACCAGAAGGAGGAGTTAGAGTTGGTGGTATGTGAATGAGATGAAATGTAAGAAACCGTGTGTCTCACCCTCATCAGATTCGTAAGATCCTGGACAATGGACACCTCCTCACGGTGCATGATCCGGAGCAGGAGAGTTCAGACACTGAACTGGACACAGTCATCCTCAAAGCCCTGGTCAAAGGTAGGCAGCCGGAGCTTAACCCTAAAGATTACCTGATTCCATTCAATTCAATGTATTTTTGTAAAGCCCTAAATAACAACAGCAGTTATCTTGGAGGACTTTACAAAGCTGTCAATTCGCCAAAACAGATCAGAGAATCAAACAATCAACCTAGAAACACAGGAAATGCAATTATTTAAAACAATATAGAGCCATTGGTCCATAAGAGGCAGAGACCAATGTCCATAAATGTTGTTGAATGTGCTAAAAGTATTTCGGTTCGGGTCAGATTTCAGGATGGACGAAAAATGTGATTCAATTTAAGACTAAGATGAAGAGATCCTTTCTTTGTCCCACAGTCTCTATTTTATGCATGATAGAGAAGCAATTATAAAATGTAGATTACTGTATATTCTAGTACAAGGAATGCATAGTTGTATGTTTACTTCTGTACATGTTAGCAGAACAAGGGTCTGGGACAAAAGCTCTGTTTCCAACTCGACTCGACTCAGTTTGAGAGCCTGCGTTCATTATTAACGTTAGATTAGTTTTACCAGATCATTTATTCAACATCGACCAAGGATTTATAGAGCCATTAATCCATAATCCGCTCCGTAACTATGTATACTAAAATATACAGCTATGACACATAACATCAACTACACGCTGCTAGACACACATTCAGCGTATGACCAGATACTTTTGCATTTGACCGAAGACAAACACTTCCATTCCTCTGTGTCCTGTGTGTGTCCTCTGTGTGTGTGTCCTCTGTGTGTCCTGTGTGTGTGTGTGTGTGTGTCCTGTGTGTGTTAGCCTGTAAGAGCCAGAGTCAGGAGGCGCAGGACTTCCTGGACGAGCTGAAGCTGGCGGTGGCCTGGAACAGAGTGGACATCGCCAAGAGTGAAATCTTCAACGGAGACGTGGAGTGGAAGGTCAGGGCTCAGAGAGATTTAGCAGTTTTAAGGATTTGGAAAGTTCATTCAGAGACTGATGAAAGTGAAATACAGGTGCTGAGGCTGACACCTGGAACTATCAATCAACCTTTATATGTAGAGTGCTTTTCATGCACAAGGAAACACAAAGTACTTCACAGTCAAAGGCATTCATTATTACACATTAAAATCATGCAGAATATTAGCATTAGGACCACATATGTACATATGTACATGTACCACCACAATATTAAAACACATAACAATTAAAAACACACAGGGCATAAAAAACAACCATTAAGATGAAGCATAAATAACCACAGTGCATTTAAATGTAAAGCTAAACAGAGCAGGAGGCCAGTCCCTGTGCTCCTCAATGTTCCAGCAGGAGGCCAGTCCCTGTGCTCCTCAATGTTCCAGGAGGAGGCCAGTCCCTGTGCTCCTCAGTCTCCCAGCAGGAGGCCAGTCCCTGTGGTGCTCAGAGACCCAGTTGGTTCACACGAACATGTCACAGATGTACTAACAGGAGCTCAGTGGGAGCTCAGTGCCATAACAGTTTGTGATATTTTTTTAATTGAATGCATAAGGTTAGACAACACATTACATCAAACCAACATTAACATATTTATATATACAGCCCTGGTGCATAATGTTTTAGCTGTAAATCCCATTAAACCATAAAAGCCTCTCACATAACAGTTTCCCAGCTCCATAAGTCTGACTTCCTCAAAGAGGGCCTGTTACCATAGCAACGGTGTTCCTGTAATCTTTCCACAACACAGCATTAAAGAAATACAGTCAAGATGTTATTGTTTAGGAGATCCCTCATGATAACATACTTTTTGTTGGGGCCGGTGTGTGGACCTCAAAGCAGACACCAAAAAGGGAAATATTGAATGAACAGAAAGTGCAGCAGGTTTGGCTCCGAGCAGACAATGGAACTGGAAACACAAAAAATCCTGTGGTCACACAACCACTAACAATGAGTGAAAAAAGGTATAAACTATTTTGTAGATCCCTTTTTGAGTCACTATATGGACTTGAAGGAACTGAAATGTACCTCTACACCTGTATTCGTCCCACAGTGGTATTAAAGTGATTGTCTGGAGTTTGTCAGAAAGAGAGACAGAGAGGTACTTGATTTGAAAAAAACGACGCAAGCTCCCTCCCCCTTCCTTTCTGATTGGTCTACACCTACGTTTCCGTAACACTTTGAAATGTTAATCAGAGAACATATTATACATATATATTATTAATACACATGCACGGAGGTTTTCAGAATTATTTGTGAACGTTTTAATGAAAAAAAATATGTTTTTATGCACACAAAAAAGCGATCGCGGCAAACCAGGAAGTGCTATTATCATGAATTGCACATTATAGGACACATCTGCAGAGGATCTGATTATGGATATAGGTTCAGTATATACATAAGTACCTCAGCGTGGATGTTCAGAATTCTTTGTTCAGTTTTCATGTAGTTCCAGAGCCTAATAGGCTCCGCGAAAACAAACAACTGCGCATGCGAGCAGCTGCGAGCATCAGCGCCGATGATTGACAGCCCTTGGCATGACTCGATTGGTTAACCTCGAGGGCATCATGGATTCTGAACTTTAGCTAAGAGCAGGGAAGGCGGGACTTGTCCGTAATATTAGAATTAATAAAATGACTTATTTTATATCAACATTTAAGGCCAGGAGGTCAATTCAACACATTTCCTAAAATTTGTAATTCATTTAGAGTTACAGACTATCACTTTAAGGGTACTTCAGGGTCAAAATTGCTTGAATCAAGTGGTTTTTATATTAATCTGAGCACATTCTGTGACAAATATATTAGTATTATTTCAAGTACAGTGGCTTTATTTTCCCATTGCCAAATCTTCTTTTAAGGCAGTCAAAATGTGGCCAAAATATGTGACATTTTGGTGACTTTGAGCAATTTTTAGCTTCTCTGTGAATGGCTAGCTTCACAGAGCTAGCCAAAAATAAACCAACACCGCTGTCACCAAATGTAATGTGAGGGTCCGTGGTGATAGAAAGATGGCTCTCTATGTAATGAAACAGCAGGATGGAGCAGGATTCTTTCTGTCACTTGAAATATTATTTACTTCTGTTTTCTTCCTCTGCTACGTCACTGCCACCTCTTGACACTTTCCACCCAATCACAAGCTAACAAAGATATAACTCATCAAATGAATATAACTCTTACCGTATGATTTTCCCTTTTTATTCAGACGATATAAAGATGTTTAATCCCTGTGTGCTCAGCCGTGTGACCTGGAGGAGGTGATGATGGACGCTCTGATCAACGACAAGCCCGACTTTGTGCGTCTGTTTGTGGATAACGGAGTGAACCTGGGCGAGTTCCTGACGTACGGCCGCCTGCAGGAGCTGTACTGGTCCATCCCAGAGAAGAGCCTCCTCCACAGTCTGCTACTCAAGAAGTACGAGGAGAAGCAGCTGCTCCTGGGCACTGCTCGGTCCAAAGGGCCCCCCGTGCACCACCCCCCCGACCCCAACAAGCCCCGCTTTACTCTGCTGGAGGTGGCCAAGGTTCTCAAGGACTTCCTCCATGACTCCTGCAAGGGCTTCTACCAGAAAGTACCCACTGTGAGTATCATATCACAGTGGGTATCACTCACAGTGATACTCACAGCACCGAGGGTCAGGAGCACTGAAGGTCAGGAGCACTGAAGGTCAGGAGCACTGAGGATCAGGAGCACTGAGGATCAGGAGCACTGAGGGTCAGGAGCACTGAGGATCAGGAGCACTGAGGATCAGGAGCACTGAGGATCAGGAGCACTGAGGGTCAGGAGCACTGAGGATCAGGAGCACTGAGGATCAGGAGCACTGAGGGTCAGGAGCACTGAGGATCAGGAGCACTGAGGATCAGGAGCACTGAGGGTCAGGAGCACTGAGGATCAGGAGCACTGAGGATCAGGAGCACTGAGGATCAGGAGCACTGAGGATCAGGAGCACTGAGGGTCAGGAGCACTGAAGGTCAGGAGCACTGAAGGTCAGGAGCACTGAAGGTCAGGAGCACTGAGGGTCACGAGCACTGAGGGTCAGGAGCACTGAGGGTCAGGAGCACTGAAGGTCAGGAGCACTGAAGGTCAGGAGCACTGAGGGTCAGGAGCACTGAAGGTCAGGAGCACTGAGGATCAGGAGCACTGAGGGTCAGGAGCACTGAGGATCAGGAGCACTGAGGGTCGAGAGCGAGAGAGAGATCATGAGAGAGCAAGAGCCAGCGAGAGAGAGAGAGAGAAGACATTTAGCTACAGAGAGCTTTGCTATTTAGCAAAGATTATCGCCTGAGACAGTTGGTTTTGTGTTTGTTCCTGGGCAGAGGGAAACCTGATGCTTTAACTGCACTATTCGTCAAATGAAAAGAGGGTGAAGAGGGAAAGAATATCTCGCATTCAGCAGACACACAAATCTATTCAGTTTTAATCATGAGCAAAAGTCTGTCCTGTGTGTGTGTGTGTGTGTGAGTTTGACGTTTTTAAAGGGCTGTAGAACCATTATTGTGTAACATAATTGTGTGTCTCCACTTAAGCGGGTTTGTGTTTGCAGAGATAGGCAAATGTTGAGCTATTATCAGAATGTAACAAGGGAGTCCTCACACTAGGAATTTGCTTTGGCTCAAGGCGCAAACAAGTTGTAAGAGTAAATATAGGTACACAGCATGCATTAAATCACTGAGAGTTCCCTTGTCCTGTTTGTTCGGGGGGAGCTTTAGTCCTCCTTATCCCGCTCCGGAACACCATTATGTAAATACAGAGATATAAAATGACATTGTGTTTTCCCGCATCACAATACAAGCACTCAAACCAGGGTGTTGACTTTAAAGCTGGGGTACACTTTTAACTTTTATTGTTTTTTTCAGGAAGACATTTTTTTTTTTCATTATTATTATTTTTTTAACCTTATTTGTTTTTGCAAAAGAACACACAAGCAACAAAAATATGTGGGAGAGATACATACTTTAAGGTAGATATGTATGTATGTGTGTGTGTGTGTGTGTGCCCGTGCGTGCCTGCATGCGTGTGTCCCAACAGAAAAAAAGTCTGATAATGGTGTATAGTAATTCGTATAAGACCAATGTATTATTGTCATTATTATTAATATAAAGTATAAAATCATTAAATTTCTTGTGCATATCTTAGAGATACTTGGTGAAAAACGCACTTCCGAAAACCTCGGCAAAGCTTGAATAAATGGGGTCCAACATTGCATTAAACAGAAATCCTAGACTGGCTGGAACAGTTGGCAGTTTGGTTTGGAGTGTGTTGAGTGACTGGTCTGTTGTGTCCAGGAGAAGGCGGCGAAGGGCAGACTCTTCCACACACAGAAAAACCTGGCCCTGGAGCTGGACGTGGCCTCGGAGCACCCCTGGAGGGACCTCTTTCTTTGGGCTGTGCTGCAGAACCGACAGGATATGGCCAACTACTTCTGGACCATGGTCAGTCCAACCCCCCCACACCACACACAAACCAGGACTGGGAATATTGTAAAGTTGACACGGTCTGAGATTGTGTCACAGGGAGAAGACATGTTTTATTGTTGATGGTAAAGACGACATGAACAAAGTTTTGTGATTATAAACGACTGGAATCAAGGTTCTCACTCAGTGGGGGCGGGTCCCGGCTCAAAAGGGTCCATGAGCAAGTGTGCTCGCATGCCTGTCATCTGACTCCTTGCCGGTGGTGTTGTACCCGGAAACAGAATTATCCAATGAGTTCTTAGGACGCCTTTCTTTCTTCTTGAAAACTAATTCACAGCCTGGTCCAAAAGGCTCTTGGCTCAATGCTACGTTCCAGCTGCTTTTTTCTGAAGTTTAGCTGCTGAGGACTTTTGAATGCACTCGAATGGCCTGTGTCAGGCTCGTCAATCATCAATTTAGCATAACAAAGAAGAAAGTATACATGAAAGCAGATGCAGAATTAGTTTGTACAGTTTCTAGCTAAAACCCAGCAGATGGTTTGCATCAGTAAGTGTGTGTAGGAAGTATCTGGCAACAAAATATGGATTGTGATTGTACTGACTTTATTAGACCCGTTATGCTGCATAAACTGACCCTTTAATATGCTTTAGTTTGACTGTTGCTTCAAAGTAACAGCACTGTGGGAGAATCGGGCGAGATTATGGAAGTAAATCTTCACAACAACCGTCTAAACTCAGAATACTTTTGGGCAACTACTCACACGTTTGGGCTGCTCACACTTTATCAAACCAAGATCTACTTTTCCTGCTTCATTGAGCCGTGATCTGCCTCAGATATATGTGATGTATAACCATTCAGAATATCACATTTGGTGCGATTCATGGTGCATGTGATTTATGACCACGTTGCCTCGATTCACATTTTGTCTGGAGGAAAAAATATAAATCTTAAAGGCTTAAGTTATTAGTTTGAACATTTACTTACAAAAGTACACATAGGTCTTCCACAGTAAGTCATTGTCGTGTTTCTCGAACAGTAAATTCCACTGCGTATGGGTTTCAATTCAATTCAATTCAATCTATTCTTGTACTGCCTTAAATCACAACAGTAGTTACTGTATCTTGGAGGACAGTCATATTGTCATAGTGTGGATTTTTTGATTATTTTGACCTGGTTTTATTTGTTCTCTTGTAGTTTGAGTTTGCTTCCTGTTGATTGTTTGCCCTGATGTGTTTCACCTGTACCTGTGTGTATTTATTTCCTGGGTTTTTCCCCACTGGTCTTGTCTTGTCTTGTTCCTGGCTTGTTTTCAGTTCCATTGGTCCATAAGTGGCAGATGACCAATGTCCTGACCAATGTCCTGGATTATCACCACTGTCCATATAAAAACTGTGGTAAAAGTGGGAAACCTCTGGGGGCCCACATCAAGGGAGGGATCCGCTCTCATGAATGGACAGGCAATAGATCCTGGACTCAAACTGTAGAACAAGGACCTAGGCCACGGGTCCAAGTGGATGATGCAAGGGGGGAATGCAAGGTTCCCCCAAGGTTTCCTTCAGGTGCTCCGGTATCTGGTGCAGACAAATGCCCACAACATTTGTAGAGTTCTTTCTGACTATAGTTTGTGAAAGGTGCTTATATATAAATGAAGATTACTTACTTACTTACTCATAACTTACTCATATTATTAAATTCTTGTTTTAAGACAGTCCATATGTCTTCTAGCAATGTGTGCCATTTCTTACTTCCTGACGTCTTTAAGACTTTGGATTCTCACCAGGGTTTTTGCAGAGGGAGGAGCTGAGGCCCTGCACAGCTGTTCTCTATAGATGAGGAGAAAAGCACCAGTGACTTCAATGATTTCTTTAAAGATTTAATGCACAGAATGGGGAGGCTCTGGACTCAGATGATTCGCTTGACTGTGATGTTGTTGCAGATTTGTTTAATATTCATTTGCAATGTATGCAGTCGGCTTTTCAGAATGTGTGCCCCAAAAAATGAGCTGGTCCATAGGGGCCTCTGCTTTTGAAATGGAGAGCTGTGCACACAATCTACAAGGTCTACGGCCTGGCCTGACTCCATTTTTTTCATTTAAACAGTGATCTCAAGCCCGCGGGCTGGATGAGCACCTGTAAGTGTTTTCATATTTTTCATCCAGCACTCCTGCAATCCCTTCACTCATGAGGTAATACTTGCTTGAATCAAGTGTTTTTTTTTATCTTTATCTGAACACATTCTGAGTTAAAACAAGCCTTTAAACAAGATTTGTCAAAGGGAAAACGCCATTTAGTCTTATTTTAAGAACTAGGATCTCTGAAGTGCTGGGAACAGCACAGATACTGCGCAGAACCCTCAAGCTCCCAGGTCTCTGGTAGAGGACCCGAGTTTAGAGAGGGATAACCGCCCGCGGGGGGCGAGAGGTGTGTGTTTTTTTTTGTTTTTTTGTATACTTTTAAATAAATCACAAATAAATGTGGAGTATGTTGTTCAAAATCTAAAAGCTGCTTCGCAAACTCTTGATCCCAGTTGTCATTTACTAGAGTAAAATTGCAGCAGGTGTAATTTTTAAATACTTGTGTACACAACCTGTGTAGATGGAATGTTCTTAGCTCTAAGCTCTACCAGAGGCCTCTCTCTCTAAAGAGGCTTTTTTGGAGCGAGTTCAAATGTGTCATATATTTTTACTGCGTTGTCAGAGAGTCTGGGGGCGGCTGGGTTTGGTTTGTCAACTAAACAATGTCAAACTAACACTTTTTGTTCTCTTCACAGGACTTTACAAAGTTGTGGATTGACACAGATAAGAGAATCAATTGAACATCGTAAATGCAATGTGTAACAAACACATAGGAGCTGTTGGTCCATAAGGAGAAGGAAAAAAAAATCTCAAAGTGACTCTACTTGCAGCTTGACTGACAATCTGGGTGTTTTATCTATAGACTCTATTTCACTTTAACTGGACCATGGATGATTCACAGATCTATAGTATTGTGGACTATGAAGCGCACCTGTAGATTTCAAAAGAAAGTAAATGTTGTGGCCACACTTGAATATAAGCCACAGCTTTTCACGTTGTAATTTAATACCCGACCAACACGATAAATAACAATACATTTGGTGTTTTTACTTCTACAAATAAAGACCTACAAGTCAGACAAGTCCAACTCAGGCTCGTGGGCCATAACCGGCCTGCAAGACCAATTTAGTGGCCCAGAAAATTATTTTCAATTTGCATTATTAACTTGCAGCATTGATGGTTATCATAGCATATAGTTATCTACATTTTTTAAAGGTCCTGGTTACAAATGGACAATTGGGACTACATGTATTTTATTGGCTCAAAAGTCCAACATTAATCCAACGCATAATTCGAAAGTAAAAGGTTAAATATAAAACAATGTGTTTATATTTGTTTTGAGTTTATATTTGGTTCAATCTAAACAATAAAAACAAAAATCAACCAGAAAATAATAGTGAAACTCGTGCCACATTAAAGTCATGTCAAAATACCTTCATAATGTAAAAAAAAATGAAGTCCCTTCTATTATTTTGGCCCCTTGACCAGTTCCTATTTTATCATTTGGCCCCAGACAGTTCAACATTACTGCCCTGAGTGAACCAGAGTTGGTCCAGTTAGAGTGAAGCAGTCAGAGTGTGAATGTGCCCCCAAAACTGGAACAACTGATACATAATGTGCAGAAAAAGTCCTGTTGACATTATTCAAAGCTCTGTTCTGGCTCAAGCACTAAACCCAGTTCCCTTGTTAGAATGTGAATTTGATATTCTTCCTTCAGACTGGTGTTATCAGGCACAAGTTTCACAGCAACAGGTAGAAACTCTCATTTGTTCAAACTTCTGATACACTTTGCAATAGATGTGCTCCCCAGAGGCATAATTCAATCTTCTGCTGTTTTATCCTAGTGAAAAGGTCACAGCACATTTCCCCTGGCTCTTAGCTTATGTGATGTTTGCTCTTTACCTTCCACCTTAATGTGGCCCGATCCTGTCAGACCTCTGAAGCAGGGCCTGGTTAGTGATGGGAGACCTCTGGGAACACCGGTGCCAGAGTGTTCCCATGAGTTTATCCCCACCGTGTATGGAGTGAATGAAAAATGTCCTGTGAAGCGTCTTGAGTGTTCAACAACATTTTAGGACTTTATCAACATTTACGGTCACCTGCCCCTTAAGGCTCTCTGTTTTCATCATTGCATTTCTTATGTTTCTGATCTGTGTTGGCGAAATTGACGGTTTTGTTAAGTCGTACAAGATACTGCTGTAAGTAGGACTATACAAGCATAAATTAAATTGAATTGAATTACTACCATGATAGAAAAATAGGTCAATATTGGTGGCTATAATCGATCCACAATTTTCCGTGAGAGTGGGTTGGCTACTTTTAAAACTGTGAACTCAATTCACTCAAAAAAAATGAAAATAAAAAGATAACTAGAGAAAGTATGTCCCCTTTTTAATCACTTTCATCACAGTATTATTTCAAAGGCTGTGCAATGTTCCGACAGCTCTGAAGGTTACAAAGATTAATTTTCCCGTTCCTAATAGTGCCTCTTTAATACAAATAGACTAACTAACGCTAGGCCTGTGTCACTCAGGCAACTCCGCTAACGGCCTTTTGTTTTCCGTGCATCGTCTTGTCTTCTCTCATTCCTCACTCGCCTTTCTTGAACCTTGGAACCAATTAGCGTTATCTTTGCCAGCGCTCGGATGTGTGCATATTTCATACGTCTTACTCCCAACATTTACTCAAATTATGGAAATGGGATGCAGCCCGAGCCGTGGATGTCTCCCGCTCTTTCTCAGTGCATGCCTAATTCGATTGTTTGAAGGGTGCTCTCTTGACGGAGTTGGAACAATGGTGACAATGGCCTCATCACGCTACAAGATGCCACTTTTGTTTTTTTTAATAGTTTCTGGCAGATTTTTGTGTACACAGATGAGAGGACAGGCGAAGGATTTAACAAGCTGGGACTAAATGTGACGTTTCCCATATGCGCTACCAATGAGTTGATCTATTAATGATAACGGAACGGTTTTTATTATTTATGTTATGCAAGGATTCAAGTCTTGAGCGTTGAAACATTCATAGATCATTATTTTACATTTCGGTTGATAACAGCTATTTTGAGTTACACAAACCAGTTCATCCGCCTTCTGTTCAAACTGGCAAAAATCAATGCACATCTTTTCATAGTCAAAAACCCAGGCCAGATGAGAAACCTAGTCCTGCCAGTGTGTCCTGAGGCGTCCAAAAGAGGCGTCCAAAACAGATGCCAGAGTCACCTCACTGGAAGATTGTGTGCTTACTCAACATGGCAAACAGCTATCATCAATAGTAGATCAATGCTATCAATAGCCTTTTGACCTCTGTCATTGGCATTATAGAGTTTGATTTATTTTACTTTCCATCTGTAGTCATTGATAATACAATCATTAAACACACATTAAAAAACAGTTTAGCAAAAATTACCAACGTAGCTACAGTCACAAAATGTAGAAAACACTGAATTATAATTTAGCGCCAAATGGAGAATGTACAAATTATTTGTATTAGCTGCAGTACTAAGTTACATGCTTACAGTATTTAGCATTTAGCAACATATAATATAAGTATTGAGATGAACTTTGTTATTGACTAAATACTTATTATCCACCATTATTTGCAGTTCAATTCTTAAAAATTCTGACAACGTAAATTTCTGTGTTTCTTTTCTCATTTTTACTCTCATTGTTGACGTTCTCCAATCGTAAAAAATGACAGGCATCTCGAAATCTTTTTACGTTTTCAAATCCACTCCTGAAATATGGTGTATGCCAGGGATAGGCAAAACATTTCTTAATAATTTCTTTGGGATATTAGAATAGAAAAGAACTTTATTGTCTGTTCAGATTGAGCAGAGATTTGTCTTTCAACACGGCACATTTAAAAAATCCTTCATTAAAAAACAATTAAAATACGCCCAAATATTGCCCTATTGTGGAGATAATCTGTTATTTAATTTAGGAAACAAATACTTCAGATAATTACTAATGACATTTAGGTTTCATTAATGAGGACAGAATAAATGAATCATTGGGTAAGGATTTCAAAGGCAACAGATCAATATGAGGTGACCGCCTGTAATATGAATTAGGCCTCTTGTGGCTCCTGGGCCACACTTTAGTTCTGGTTTCAGAGTTCAAATATATGAAGTTTGAATAAAAAGTAAAATACATCAAAGCAATGAGGATTAAGCCTGAAGTATCTAGCCCCCTTAATTGTGAATGGTCTCCTGTAGGGCCCGGAGGCAGTGGCGGCGGCGTTGGCGGGCTGTAAGATTCTCAAAGAAATGGCGCGGCTGGAGTCAGAGGCCGAGTCAGCGCGCAGCATGAAGGAGAACAAGTACGAGCAGTTCGCCCTGGGTGAGTACAGGACACAGATTTTCACCATTTCAAACCAAATGGAAGTCAGAAAAGGCTGCATATGCTATCTCATAACAGACGACAACACAAAACTGTTTAATGCTGGTGATTGTTGTTGTTTTATTGGTGTTAAACTTAATCATCCACCTTGTAAATAAGCGAGTGATATCTCCATCCGGGTCATATCTGTATTTCACTACACAGGATTGACTGTGTTGTTAACATCAGCAACACGTTCCTTCACAACCTGGCCCCCCTCACTGACCTCAAGAGTCTAGAGCAGTGTTTTTCAACCACTGTGCCGCGGCACACTAGTGTGCCGTATGATATTGTCTGGTGTGCCGTGAGAAATTCGTCTACTTTGTCTAAAAATAGCTGCATTCGCTGTTGACGAGCGGTGACTTGTTTTGAACTGTGAGTAACCATGTAATACTTTTTCAAATCAGTAGATGGCAGCAGATAGCTAAGTACTTTGAAACTGAAAAATTGGATGCGACCACTGGCTGTAACAGGTCAGCATTGTGGCGAGAAAGGTAAAATTGGATGCGACCAACAAATGTGTGAGGGAGCGAGACAAGAGCTTTGTGGCGAGTGAGAAGTGAAAGTGATAGAGACGTTTTTGAAAATGAATTATGCCGTTTCTGAACAGGATTAACATCCTCCGCTCTGCCCCGGGGCAGCTGTGGCCGCGTTGTAGTGGTTTAACTATGAAATGTACGATTTTTGTACAACAGCTCTCGCGAACGCACTTCTGAACTGGGTACCGAGCGCAGACCGTAGTCGAGTGGACAGAACCACAGACATGCGGACCAGACAGAACCATGGACTCGCGTTCAGGACCTCCCGTGTCCCTCATCCAAAACTCCTGAATTTAAAGCTCGGATACCAAAATGTTTCCCATGCACTAACAATGCATGTTCTTTGTGTGAGTTATTATTTGACTATTTGGGCAGAGAGTGGATTTTCTTAGTTTTTTTCCACACAGTTAGTGCCACTTTATTCCCAAACTCTTGTTAATTGTATCGAGAAATATTAAATAAAGCTTAATTTCAAGGCCTGGACTTAAGCATTTTGATGAGAATAACTGTATATTGTGAATATAGGCTACAGAGTATACTGTATACATTATAAGATAAGATATACTTTATATATCACACAGAGTATGTACAGTATATATTTTTTTACATTAGTACTGTATACATTTTTACATTTTCTCCTGGAGGTGTGCCGCAAGATTTTTTCAGTGAAAAAAGTGTGCCTTGGCTCAAAAAAGGTTGAAAAACACTGGTCTAGAGTCCCTCCTGCTGCCTCAGACCCTCTCTCTCCAACCTCTTCGCTCTCATTTGAACAAAGTGCCAAAATTTGGGGGGTTGAGTCTTCTGAAGTCTTCTTTTACCATTTGACTCTTTTGGAATATCTAAATGTAACATTTTCATAATAGATAAAACAATTCCTCCTCTTGGCATAACCCACACTAAGATTTTCTGGCAAAGAATAGTTAGACAAATGGGGAGGGGCCTCATCTGTCTATCAAGGATTTAGATTAATTAATTAAGAAGTAGTGGGGGCGGGTCTAACCGGTGCTTGCAAATGGGCCACAGCAGCAGGGGTGTAGCCACTTGTGATGAGCTGCTTTCTATCCTCTAAAAATGTGAATGCTCTATTAGCATTTTAAAAACTGCATTCCTCTGGTGGATTTCTGCTTTATCTGATTGGTTGGCACCATCCTCTCGGCTCTGGTCTGGATCAGTGTAAAATTATGAACACTGTACTGTAGCAACATTTACAGCCAGAAAAGAGCACAAAAAATAACGATTGTAAAAAACACAAAAGCACTGCTTCAGAGAGACTCAGGGCTTCCTGCCGTTTCTAGCACATTCAAAAGAGGCCAAGATTTGGCCCCTGGGCTGCAATCTGAACAGGCTGGCAATAGGACGTAAGACTAGCTTTTTAATCACTTGGTATATTTTGCCATCAAGTCTTTTTCTTACATAATGGCCAGTGATTTTTCTGCAATGTTTTGGAAAAGTAAATACTTGAATTCTTTAGCATCATCTCTGCAGAACTGACACCACTTCCAGTGAATAGACACAATACTTTTATGAGACACCGCTGCTTCCCCTGTGAGAGCTCGTCTTTTCATACATCTGTGTTTTTCCGCTGTCCTTGAGACGTCCGCTCTCACGGGGATTTATCACTGTGCGAACTACAAACTGTGCAAACTGCAAACTGTGTGCTCTGCGACGGCCCTGCTTCTCGGAGACAACAGCCAGGCCTCCATGGTGTTCAGACTGTATTAGAATTCAGAATAGTTTCAGCTTCATGGACTTTTGTTGTCATGTTATCATGTTTTGGGTTTTTTGCTGCATTAGCTTGCCCAAAATTGGGCTCAATTCTAGTTTGACACCAATCGTGACCTTATGACCTTCACTTTATGCTACTGTCACTTTACTGTCACTTTACTGCACTTTACTAGACAGGTATATTGTGTGCACCTAGGGCACCAAAAACATTCATGTAGAATTTCATTTATGCATGCCTTTGATTTTGTTCTGTTTTAACTTGTTTGCACCGAGAGTCAAAGCAAATTCCTAGTTTGTGACTTCCTGTTACTCACATGGCAATAAAAGTGAGTGAGATCAATAAAGTCTATATTATCTCAGTTTATCTTATCTTGTCATTGTTGTTATTATAGGACCCTAAAGCAGAGAGGGTTAGGGTTAAGGTTAGGGTTTGGAGGAAGCAGGTTAGAAAAAGTTGGAAAAATATGTATGTTCCACTGTGGGAAAATGTCAGTGTTGCATCACAGGAATGAGGAGCATACAACACAAGATAAATTAATATTAAGTATAGCTCAACTCTTTTAGACCGTATAGGAGTGGAAAAGGCGGAAGAAGCAGATTTGAGCATAAGATATAAGGGATCCTTATATGGGCATTTTTCAGATGCCGTTTGTGTCACGCCATAACAGGGGCAGACATGTTTCTATGGTTGTTGCAAAGGCAAACTTTAATAAGTAAATGTGTAATCAGAACAAAAAATAAAAATAAAATCAGCCCGACAGCAGGCTCACGACTCAGGATTTTAGGGTCTCCGACCATTTTTATTGCTTTATATTAAACTGTGTCATTTTCACTTTAGCGTTAGTTAATTAAAATGTCATTTCGGGATGAGCTGAAACCTCGCTCTAATGGTCAGAAAACAACCAGAAAACTCCCAATAAATGCTGCGTTAATGTTAAATCTCAGAGCTTAGATATTCAGGAAAAATGGACAAACGTTTTGAGTTGTGTTAGAATTTTTTTTTTATTATTATGACAAACACAAAGACAACAAACAAACGTGTACGTGTTTGTGTGTGTGTGCGTGTGTGTGTGTGCAGATGTGTTCGGAGAGTGCTACTCCAACAGTGAGGACCGCGCCTACGCTCTGCTCATCCGCCGGACACAGTGCTGGAGCAAGTCCACTGTTCTCAACCTGGCAACCGAGGCGGACGCCAAACCCTTCTTTGCCCACGATGGAGTCCAGGTGATCAGCAATGTAGCAAGTGTAAATATGAACAACAATGAGGACGCTTACATGCGAAAGCCAGATACCGTTACACCTCTGAAGCTAAGCAGGGCAGGGCCTTTTTTAGGACTGTGATGGGAGACCTATGGGAACAGCATGTGCCACGGTGGGGCGGCTGTGGCTGTAAAGTGCCAAACTGTTATTGTGTCCTCAGGCAAGACACTTCACCCACATTAGAATGAGTCTGGTGTGTTTGTGAATGGTTGGTGGTGATCAGAGGGGTTGATGGCATTTATTTTGGTTGCATCGCTTCTGTCAGTGTGCCCCAGGGCAGCTGTGGCTATGGCAGTAGTTTATCACCACTGTGTATGGAGTGAATGAATAATGACATGTGACGCGTCTTTGAGTGTCCAAAAAAAACACTGTATAAAACCCATCCATTATTATCATTTTCCTTATTTGAGAATAAAAAAACGTAACAGAAACACACACAATTGCACCTTGCTTTATCTTTTCAATTAGTAAAAATTGTACAAAATGTTAAACTTTCAATCAGCAATCACAGCAACCTCTCAGTCACACACCAGATACACAGACAATGATTTGATAAGTAGGCTCTTTGAATCAGCAACTGTCATTTTGTCACCGTGGCAGACTCCAACAGGCTCGTAGCCATTTAATTAAATGTCACTGTAGCAAACACATAAAATGGAAACTAATTACTTGTGTGTCTAATTACAGTCACATTTCTAATGACAGCAAAGCAATCCATTCTAGCAGATTCAATAATAATATATTTATTGCTTTTTGATGGCACCATTATTGTTTTGCAATCTCTGTATCTCAAATGTTGTTCACTCAATGTAGAAATAGTCTTATAATGAGCTGCTGTAAATGTTGGTCAAGCCTGCAGTGCCCTCTAGTGGCAAGACTCTTCTAGCTGTTATCATGTGCTGAAGCTGTTTTACAGAAAGGCAACTATTTAAAATGCACAAATCTAAGTTAAAGATGAGTACTATTTTTTTTTATCATAAATTGTACTTATTGTTTTTCCAGTAAGAGTCTTGTGAAAGTTAAACATGCTGTCTTTATTTTATTTAATATTTCTTTTGTGTTGTCTATCTGTGTTTTTAATTGGACCTAGTCTGTAGAAAAGTCGATGCTTGTAAGAAAAGATCCCTGTGAGTCACAATCTGACACTTTGGGCTGAGAACTGATTGGCTGAAAAACTACAAATGTAGGCAGATATGGTTTGTTGTGCCTTATCAAACGTCAATAGAGTACGATGTTTCTCCTTTAGTTTAAATGCTGTATGTCACCTTCTGAAAGTCTGTTTTTGGATTGATATTTCAAACTTTTTATCTTTGCTTTTTATACATTATTTTTACATATTTCATCTCTACTAAATAAAACAAGTCCCTTCTTCCAATGCCGCTTTATTATGTCAGTGGGAAAACGCATCATTGGCTCCAAACTGGAAATGTTGCAGCATAAATCTAGCACAGTTGTTCTCATTCCTTCACTGTGCTGCTCAGGCTCTGCTCACCAAGATCTGGTGGGGCGCAATGAAGACGGACACGGCCATCTCCAAACTGGTGCTGTCCTTTTTCTGCCCCCCCCTCATCTGGACCAACCTCATCAAGTTCAGGTGAGCCAATTAGATTCAGGAAAACAGATTTAATGACGAGGAGTTCAACAGCTTCACCGTTAGCTTCCATGACTCATTCACCTTCATCTAATTTTACAATAAACCAGTGTCTTTTAGCTACTAAAACTGGTGTGGGTGAGTCAAAAAAATAGGTCCATAAAATTTGCTCTAACAACCCCACAATGAAAATACGAATCCATTAATTCGTGTTTATAGATTGTGTTTTGCTGTGTGTGTGTGTGTGTGTGTGTGTGTGTGTGTGTGTGTGTGTGTGTGTGTGTGTATGTGTGATAGTGATGAGGAGCTGGAGGAGAGCAGTAAGGGTCAGTTTGTGGAGCTGGACAGTCTGGACACAGAGAAGGCCCTGCTCCTGACCGATGATGACGACCCCCTGTGAGTCTCCCACACATACCTGCATTTATCAATTTTTAAAGAATCAAAATCTCAATTTTAGAGCTCGCAATTAGAGAATAACCAAGACTACAATTATTTAAGTCCATTATCAAAAACAACAAAAAAGAATCATGAATTTTTCCAGAAGGGCAGGTATCTTTTGCAGTATTTTAAATATTGTTTCACTTGTGCCAATTTAGGAAAAACTTTGCCTTAGGTTGTCGTTTAGTTGATTGTTATCGAATAAAACTATAGTAATGGACTGAGCATCTTTGCAGGACACCAGAGTCTACACTTCAAAGGCTACTTCCACACGGCGGCTGCTCAAAAGTGATTCTATCTTCGGGTGAACTGTTAAACCATTTAATGATTTCCTCAACCATTTGGTGGATCAACTTTTACTACTTGAACTGATATCTACCTCTTTGGGGCATCTCACTTGGTTTGGGGCACTTTTACAACTACCTCTCAACCATTTGGTAAAGGCTTAGAATTTATAAAAAATAGGGTTTACAAAAAAATCATTAAAACAAATCATTTGTTAAAGTTACATTGCTTTCTTCAAGGAGTGAACATAAAGGCGTTGTTAATAATAATAATAAATATAATAATAATAATAAATATAATAATAATAAATATAATAATAATAAATATAATAATAATAATAAAAATAATAATAATACATTTTTATTTCTTAGCCGCCTTTCCAGATTCTCAAGGTTGCCTTACATAGCAAGTAGAACCTACATTTTAAGACAGTTCAAATAAAAAGTTAGAACCAAAAGGACAAGGAGACTTCCTCCCAACTGTGTCCCTGTTGCAGAGATGTGTCCCCTGGGGGCCCGGTCGTCCAATCCTGGGCCTTTGTGTGGTGGCGCTTCCTGCTGCGGCGCTGGAAGAGGTTCTGGAGCGCCCCAGTCACCGTGTTCCTGGGAAACGTCATCATGTACTTTGCTTTCCTCATGCTCTTCACCTACGTGCTGCTGCTGGACTTCAGGCCCCCGCCGCCCTTTGGCCCCGGGGCCCCTGAGATTATGCTCTACATCTGGGTGTCCACGCTGGTGCTTGAGGAGATACGACAGGTGAAGTTTCGCTTAAACTTAGACTTATATCTATTCCTTTTCTTTTCTTTATATTTTTAAAGAAAGTGGAGAATTACAGAAATACAGAAGCAAGGCCAATCCATATTTACGTCATATTCCTACAGATAAGGAATGAAAGAGAATAGGGATGTAAAGGGAGGGGGATTCTGATCTGCATTTCACATGGGTGTGTGTGTCACTATTATTCACTTATATTTTAAAGGAGTCTCCTCTAGCTCAGTAACAGTGTGTGTTGCACTCAACATTTTAGGCTCTCAGTTTTCCTGGTGTTTATAATTTGATATTGTCAATATTTGCAAATCCGTGAACCATTAAACAAATTAGATGCATTCTTTCATGTGGGAAACACGTCTGACCCTGTCACAGCGCACTGCTAATCGCATCTGAACAAATGCCGTCAGGAAATTCCTCAGTGCTTCATGTATATTTAATAATGGATAAGCAAAACACAAAGATGTGTTCAAACACAGGAAATGCTATGATAATAAAACACAGCTTCGGTCCATGAGGGGCAGACGACCAATTTCCATAAATGTCAATAAATGTTGATGAATGTTGAGTGTCCTGGATCATCACCACTGTCCTATGACCCTCCTGCATCGGCATGGAAAAACTCTAAAACTCTATAACAATATATATATAACAACTTTATATAATATTTCATCATTATAATCTTTAACAGCTAAAAACAATGGATCATATTTGTTTTAAGTTGAATTGCCCGTACCATGGCCTGTTCTTTTTGCTCAGAGCTTCTTTACAGACGAGGAGATAAACATCCTGAAGAAGTTCAAGCTGTACTGGGAGGACAACTGGAACAAGTGTGACATGGTGGCCATCTCTCTGTTCGTGGTGGCGGTCTCCTGCAGGTTCACAGCAGTTTCTCTAGAATAGAACATTGTTATGAATCTGGATAACTGTGTAAAACTGTGTGTGCTCTGGCAGAATGGTGAATGACACGTATGAGGCCGGCCGGTCAGTGCTGGCCATAGACTTCATGGTCTTCACCCTGAGACTCATCCACATCTTTGCCATCAACAAACAGCTGGGCCCAAAGATCATCATCGTGGAAAGAATGGTCAGTCATGAGTAGTAAGCGTTGAACGTGTCGAGGTTTTGAAACGTGTGCCGAGTAATCTAGGCCAGCAATCTCCAACCGTTTTAGTGCCACTGACCGGTTTAACGTCAAACAACAAATGCAGGAATGCGTTTTTTGTGTATTTTATGCTCACAGACACAACATCTATATTTCTGTCTTTTGTGACGTGTTTCTTGTCGCTGCTTTAGTCCTTGACCTGTGTCATTGCGCAGATGAAGGACGTGTTCTTCTTCCTCTTCTTCCTGTGCGTGTGGCTGCTGGCCTACGGCGTGGCCACTCAGGCTCTGCTCCACCCCAACGACCCGCGCATCGACTGGGTGTTCCGCCGCGCCCTCTACCGCCCGTACCTGCACATCTTTGGACAGATCCCCCTCGAGGAGATCGACGGTACGGACATACACTGCAAAAAGATATGGACAAAACGCTATCTTATCTCTTTGAATGAGAAAATAAAGAAACAGTTCTTGAAGTAAGACTAAATGGCTTTGTCCCATTGGCATGTCTTGTTTTCAGACTGTCTAAATGTTTGAAAGTTGAAACCAGTTTCAAAGTTAGATACATCATCTTCAACACACACTGTGGTTGTCTTGCACAGTATAATAGCAAATAGAAAAAACTGCAAATAGACTGAATCTTGAATCCTGTGTGTGTGTTATTCAGCGGCACAGATGCCTGATATGAACTGCACCACGGACACTCAGGAGATCGTGGAGGGACTGAGACCGCCCTGTCCCAACGTCTACGCCAACTGGCTGGTCATCCTGCTGCTGGTCATCTACCTGCTGGTGACCAACGTGCTGCTCATGAACCTGCTCATCGCCATGTTCAGGTCAGCCACACATGTTCAAACTGTCACGGTATGGATTTGGTTATTTTGGTTTTATTTGACATCAGTTTTCTTGCGAATTGTTTTAGTTGTACTTCCTGTTTCACCTGTGTGTGTCTATATGTGTGTCTCTGTGCTCTTCCCATGGATTTCCAGAAGTTTTCCCCCTAGAACTCAATATAAACTAAAGAAGCTTGGCCTCAACAGAGAAGCTACAGCTGGTAGCTGGTTAAATCCATTGGTTTTCTTGAAATTCTTTAAATCCACATTTCAAAGTAAAACACACTGCAAAAAAGGTTGCTGGCTCCGCTCTGATTGTCTCTTTTTGTGCATGTTTTTAGTGGTGGGGGAAACACACTGGACAAGTAACGCTTCTAGTCCAGCAAGTCACTTAACAAAAAGTGACTCCATGTTGTCTGTGTCTGTGCAGCTACACGTTCCAGGTGGTGCAGGGAAACACTGACATCTTCTGGAAGTTTCAGAGGTACAACCTGATCGTGGAGTATCACAGCCGTCCCGCTCTGGCCCCGCCCTTCATCATCATCAGCCACCTTTCCCAAGTGTGTCTGAGCCTGTTCAAGGAGCCAGAGTCCAAGCAAGAGCACCTGGGTATGTAGCAGATCTGGCAACCGGAGTCTTATCTCATGGGGCCAATGGCACATCCGGTTTTCCTCGCTTCTATCAGTGTGCCCCAGGGCAACTGTGGCTACAGTTGTAGTTTATCACCCCTGTGAATGGAGTGAAATAATAATGACATGTGATGCGTCTTTGAGTGTTGAGTTCCCAGAACTCTGCACACTGGCTGATGTGTATTATTCTGTAAAAACCTTCTATAAGTTTGTCTCTGGTTTTTGCCGTGTGCAGAGAAGGAGCTGCCTCCAGGTCTGGACCAGAAGCTGAAGACCTGGGAAACCGTGCAGAAGGAGAACTATCTGGCCAAACTGGAGCGGCAGCACTGGGAGAGCAGCGAGGAACGACTCAAGAACACTGCCTCCAAGTAAGAACCCACACACTACAGAGCTGCACCAGCCTCATACGGTATCTCAGTGTCATTTCTAAGGTTCTGATGAGAGCAGAACGTTCAACTTAAGTTTCACAAGGAGACTTCATATAATGCAGACAACTGAATGATGTCATCAGTCATCTGATGTTTATCAATATGTAAATGTCATAACTGTTGACGTAGCTTGGACAAATGTTTTGTCAGATATACTATAGTTTACTTTCACTAGCTTACTTTGACCATGGGCATGCTTTCTGCTGCTCCTACATTTTTTTTTATGTTTTAAAGGTTTCTTGCTTTGTCCAGCACTTTGAAATGCCTTGTGAATGAATTGTGCTATACAAATAACTTGCCTGGCCTTGTAGCAGGCAACTGTGGTGGCTGCAACCATTAGGACTGTATGTTGGTGCCCTCTAGTGGCCTTTATGACTTCAACCAGTCTGTGTGTAGGAGACAGATCTACTTTTGAACATTTTCATAAAGCTGGGGTACAATAAAACATAATCTCGTCCAACCAGTTCCTCCTTCTCACAACACTTTGGTTCTATCACCAGTTTTCGTATGCCTGTATTTTTGGACTCTCTCAGCTCTTCATATGAACAAATGTAAATAACAAGGACCAGCACCACCCTCACTCAGCCAATCAGCTCTCAGCCCAAAGCGTCCAATAGTGACTAACATGGCTCTTTCTCACACATACTGCATTCCAAAGATAACATGTTTTCTAATAAGATAAAGACTGTTTGTTGTGGTGTGACTTTTACAACAGTCTTTCAGTTGGGACAAACAAAATGTACTTAGTCTATTCAACAAAACCAAAGTCAGGTACCCAGGCTTTACTCCCATGTATTTCTCAGGGTACAGAGTTTGCTCAAAATTGCGGCTGGATTCAGAGATCAGGAGAAGCGGCTGGTGTCTGTGGAAACTCAGGTGAAAGAAACGGCTTTAATTAAGACTAATGAACTCTAGTCTCTCTCTGGTCTATCTCTGGTCTCTCTCTCTAATCTCTCTCTCTGGTGTCTCTCTCTGGTATCTCTCTCTCTAGTTTCTCTCTTGTCTCTCTCTGGTCTCTCTCTCTAGTCTCTCTCTCTGGTGTCTCTCTCTGGTCGCTTTCTCTGCTGTCTCTCTCTGGTGTCTCTCTCTAGTGTCTCTCTCTAGTGTATCTCTCTGATGTCTCTCTCTACTGTCTCTCTCTCTGGTGTCTCTCTCTTGTCTCTCTCTATGGTGTCTCTCTCTAGTCTCTCTCTATGGTGTCTCTCTATAGTCTCTGATCTCTCTCTCTGCTCAGATCCGGTACTGTGGGGAGGTGCTGTCCTGGATGGCTGAGTGCTTTGCTCTCAGCACTCTCAAATGTGGCAAAGATGCACCCAAAGCTCCATGTGTGTAACACACACACGCAACAAACACTATTTTGTCATGGTGTGGTTTTTGTGTTTTATTTGGAATTATTTTCTCTGTGGTTTTAGTTTAGTTTCCGTTGTTGATTGTCTGCCAAGTGTTTCACCTCTGTCTCTTTGTGTCTATATGCATTTGTCTCTCTGTCTATATGTACCTGTGTCTCTCTTTGTCTATGTACCTGTGCTCATCCTGACTTGTTGCTGGCCCATTGTCTTTGTCTGTATTTTATTTTTACACTCTTCCTTCATTTCACCACTAGACACATTTACTATTTACTTTCTCATTTCATGTTTTAGAAAGTTAAATTAGGAAAGTTGGACAGTGGTCATGCCGCTCCTGATGTATTTGCTTTTTTTTAATCATTATTGATCATATTCTATGTTTGCACTGTTTACAAAAAATAATTTAATTTATTTTTAATTTATTGATGATTCATTGTTAAAAATTATATCTTTTCTGACTTTGGTTTGCACTGTAAGGATCTCTGACATACACATTATATTGAAAATGAACTTTTCTAACAATACAGCACTTGTTTGTCCACAGTGAGTTTGTTGGGCGTGAAAGAGGGAACGTCAAAAGACAAGTCCGAGGAGTCAGAGGAAGGAGCCGGAGCTTCCAGGACGTTCCCTTACATCGACGAGTAGCAACATCATTCATACCTTTTACATTCCCTCATATTTATCTGTGCCTTACATGGCTTTCCCTGTTTTAAATTCTAATAAATGAGCAAAAAAACCACTGTTTGATGCATATTTTTTAATCAGTAAAACAGTACAGTTGTGTTGTCAGCATATAAGAACTGAACACCTCAGGGTTGGAGAATCTTGGGTCATTTTAAGAAGTGAGAAGAGACGTTTGGAGGACGTTTGGAGGACAGGGGCAGGACCATAATACTATAGTGTGCAGTAGTCATCTAGAGAAATGTCTGTGAAATAGCACACAGCACACACTTTTCCAGTGTCTCTCAGCCTCTATGCTCTCAGCCCTCGAGGTGATGTAAAGTGAATGCCACAAAGATTGAGCATGAGGAGAAAATTGTTGTGTTTTGTCCACTCAGCCCAGACATCCAGACTGAAACATGTGGGGAATTATAAAATATATTTTGACTTGAATCTTGACTTGGGGAAAAGTGTGCATTTCATAAAGGATATACAAGATTTTATTTACCATTTGCAGTAAAACCACATTGGAAAAACTGTGCAAGACTACCCCAGTGTGTACCAGACAGAGAAGATAGTACACACCAGAGCTCTTGCCATCTTACAAGGTTCACTTTAAAAATGGAATAGAGCAATTGTGTTGTGGATGAGCCACATGCATATAAATATTTTTTTCCTAAAAGCACCATTATATTAAAGGGACAGAGTGTAGTTTCTTCTTTTAAGCCCTGTACAGCGGCTTAGGTGTTTTGAATAAGATGAAAGTGTAAAAAAGCTAGTACTGCTTAATTACCTGACATGTTTCAGTGGTAGGTATTTAAGCACTACTAGCGTTTTTACACTTTTGTCTCATTAAAAAACCTTCTAAACATAAAAGGAGACATAATGAATTTTTACATGTATTTCCTGTACAGTGGGAAAAGCGGCGCAGCAGGTTTACATGCAAAGTCAAAGGTTCTGTTGTGCGGTAGTAGCGCTGGTCATGCCATTTCTGCAGCACGATGTGTTTCATCACAGGTCAGGCATTTTAGGCATGAACACAACTAAAGAATTTTATAATGTGACTAGAAGGGTATTCTGTCCAGCTGCTGTGGTTTAGGTAGAGACCAAACCAGATGGATTTGGTAGCTAAGAATAAATCCACATTTACATTTGTATCAGAAAAGGCCATTCCAGGTTGATTGTAGAGCTAAGGTGAATAACAGAACGTGCACCAAGAAACACATCTCCCGACCTGCATCGCCATCGTCTGTATCCAGGTGTGATTGCCGATCTTTGTTCTCTGTAAAGCTGTTGTATTTCAAAGCTCCTTCAAACGGCACCAATGTGTGACAGGCAAAAAGACATCCTTAATGAAATCCGTGACAGTCCCGGCTCCACAGGGCCACACAGCAGTGGCCCCTGCTCACGCCTCTCCTTACATTCAAATACCAGAAACAACAGGCTGCAAGAATGAAGACGCTTCAGTGCACTCCTGATGTTTCCTTGCTTCATATTTTTTTGCGATAATAATCTGTAAGCCCAGGCACGTTCTTGAAACAGAGTTTTCAGAGTCCAATTGTTCAGACGTTTAGATGAAGATGGTTTCAGACATCAGGGTTTGGAGACATCAGTGAGTCAGCAGCAGAGCTCCAGGTGCAGTGCAGATTTAAGTCCATATGATCGAGTCTGGTGCAGCAGGGACCTATGGGCCTCAGAACCTCAGGGGCCTGGGCCTGCACTGCCCCGCGCCTGCACAGCGGGCCCCTCCTTTGGCCCTGTGTCAAAGCGAGGGCTGATCTCACAGCGGATGAGCAGCGTGTCGTCTTTGATGAAGGCTCTCTGCTGCAGCTGGTTCAGGTGCATGAAGGTGACGTAACCAAAGCCTTTGGGGTTGCGTTGGATGGTGGGCTTCTGGAAGGCCTGAAGGTCTGGTTTGGTCTCCATCATCTCCATCTGGTGCTTGCCCTCGGGCCCCTGGTCCAGGATGGCTAGGCGGATGATGCCCTGGAAGGGCCATGACAGCTGGCTGTCGTAGCAGCCCTGCATGGTGTGGACAAAGAGGGAGATGTAGCTGGAGCAGCGCGGGGCGTTGGGCGTCTGCAGGTGCAGCCTCAGACACAGCTTGTATCCGGGACGTCCCGTGTAGAAGCCGGGGCTGTGCTCCACCACCGGCTGTCCTGCTTCCTGATTCTTCAGAAGCGCTGAAAAGGTACGCAGCCTCCAGATGAACACACCATGGCACTGCTGAGCCTCCAGCTCCTTCACCGTCTCCTCCAGCAGCGACACCCGGCGCCGCATCTCTGCCAACTGACCGCTCTGTAACACACACACAAACACACACACACACACACATCTATTATACAGGACTATAATGAGGACCATGTCGATGTAATTTAATAGATCATTGATCATAAATTGGTTTGAATGAAGTCATCTTTATGCAGCATTTGTGAGCGACGTACCTGAGTCTCTTTGAGGATGATGAGTTCTCGGAGCTGGTGGTCCTGCTTGACCAGACGTGCGTCCATCTCCCGCACACGCTGCATCTCCTCACTGAGTTGACAGGGGGCGCTATTGCAGGCGGGGGCCCTCTGCGCACAAGGGGAGGAGAGCCCCGGCTCGTCCAGGGAGGCGGAGGAGCAGGGCATTCTGGGAGCTCGAGGCTTGGTGCCGTTCACGTTGAGGCCACGGAGGAAGTCAGCCATGTACCTCATGTGCATCTGGGTGAAGTCCTGCATGTGCTGAGCCAGGTCATGACGGAGCATCTACAACACAACAGTAGTTCAAATGACTTTACAAAATGTTGATAAATGTTGATACTTGTCCATAAATATTGTTGACTGTCGATGCGATGCGCCTAATATGTGTATTTTTATTTTGGTAGGATTGTCAGAGTAGAGTTTATTAACTTGTTTAACGGTGAATGAGTCATGGAAGCTAAAGATGGATAATGGAAGCTAATGGTGATGTTTTTAAACACCTCGTCCTTAAATCATGTTGGGACCAGTTAAAACAGTCGTCTATCTTACAACATGAAAACCTGCAGCTTATATTCAGGTGCGGCCTATATGTAAATATTTAATATATATTTAAATGTAGGTGGTAAGGCTTATATACAGGTGCGCTTTATAGTCCAGAAAGTATGGTAATTGGGACATTGTTTTAGGCCTGTCATTTCATACTTTTTCTCATTTGTCTATGCCCCCAGTGAATATTTACCAAGAAATAAGCAATGGCACAAAAAAAGAAAAGAAAAAAGGACGATTAAAAAAGGAAAAGCTAATGACCTATGTTTCCCAATCAAAACAATCGACTTTCACTCATGCAAAGCCCATGTGCGGCCAGGAGAGGCACCCGGCTCTGAAGCCGTTTGTTTCTGCCTCTGCATCAGAACTACAGGCGTGGAGCCCGACTGCAAAGATGGCAACCCACTTCCTTTAAGCCATGTTCCAGCTTCTTCCCTCTGGTAGAAGATATCGCTCACAGGACATGGGATATGCTAACAGCTGTAATCAGTCTGCACTAATTACTTTAATGATCTTGTACTTGTATTGTAACTGTTTTTGTCGATTATTTACACAGTGATTGTTTTTTGTACTATTTATTTGCTTATTTCATATATGTGTCTGGTGCCCACAGGGGACTTTTGCACTTGTATTCCAATGTGGTTTTACTGAATCTGAACATAACATTACAATGTTACTCACCCTTTCTTTACAGCCAAATATACTAAAATTGCACGCTATGGGGGCCTTGGGACAGTCTGTGTCACAGTGGGATTCCATCTGTAAAAAATTAAACAAACATCTTACTAATTGAATGGAAATTTTGGTAAACAGACAAGTCTTCTTTCACTGGATAGAGCAACAAACGGGTAAGAATAATTTTTTACCCTTTATTTAGTATTAGAATTACAATAAAAGGACAGGATGCAACAAGTGCGCTACCAGTCAGCTCTGTGGAAGCTCTGGTACAGTTTTCTTTTATAACTGTTTGTCTGTTGTAAGTAAGTAAGTAAGTAAGTAATGTTTATTTATATACCGCCTTTCACAGACAAGGGTCACAAAGCGGTTTACAATTGTTGTGTTTGTGATGTGTTTGTTTGTTTTTTATGGACTTCGAGTCTGATAAATAAAGATAATAATAATAATAATAATAATAATAATTAACAGCAACAAAAACAACAACAGACACACGATACAAAAGTACAAAGTGAAGTACAAAGGGCATGTCAGGTTCATGCTGCTAATATCTGGAAAGTGTTCCAGAAAATGTGAAACTGGCTTTTTTTCTGATAATGTTCAAATCCAGGTTAATAACAGTTCTGTTTAGCTGTGCGTACAACTGAGGGATTTTATCTTCACTCTTTTAATTCCTTGTGTAACTGTCTCTATCTTATTTTGTTAAGTATTTTGAGTTGCCTTGTGTATGAACTGTGCTACACAAATAAACTTGCCTTGTCTATAGAGGTGTAAGTGTGTGTCTAATGAGTGGCTATTACAGACATTTGAGCCCCAAAGAAAAGGTGCAAAGGTGTTTGTTTAAATAATAAGAATGCATCAGTTTAATATAGCGCTTTTTTATTCATTCACTCCATACACGGTGTGATAAACTAGCCACAACTGCCCTGAGGCACACTGACAGAAGCGAGGTAACCAGTATGTGCCATCGGCCCCTCTGACCACCACCAACCATTCACACACACCAGACCCATTGTAGGCAATGGGGGTGAAGTGTCTTGCCTTAAGGACACAACGGCAGTTTTGCACTTTTGTGGCATCGGTGTTCCCAGAGGTTAAGAGTCTTGCTAAGAATACGACAACAGCAGACATTGGGAAGAAAGTCTTGTGGTGGCCTCGAACACACAACCTTCAGGCTCAAAGGCCAATGCTCTACCAACTGAGCTACTGTAGCTCTCTAAATAAAGTCCATGTGGAGTATTGACAAACGATTTTCAAAGTTCCCCATTTGTGGAGGTGAGCAGATGAGAAAAAGCAGAAGAAAAGTGATTCATAACTTCATGATCCACGTGTAAACAACAGCTTCTGCAGACGACACATGTGTCTTTAGTTCTCTGCTGCTGTAGAGCTCACACACACACAGGAACTAGGAGCTTTATTTAGAGTTTTCTCTGGGTCAATTGTGTGAAACTCTCTGGTCTCTCTCTGTAAGTATGTAAGTAAACTTTATTTATATACCGCCTTTCACAGACCAGAGTCACAAAGCGGTTTACAATTGTTATTTTTGGGATAACAACAGAGATAGGAGCGGGGTCGCAGTACAGGAGGCGCATGCCAGGCCTATTGTACATATTTTTAATGGTAAGGGAAACCGGAGTAGGGAGACACAGGGAGAACATGCAAACTCCACTCAGAAAGGCCCTGGTCCGACCGGGATTCGAACCCAGGACCTTATTGCTGAGAGGCGAGAGTGCTATCCACTCAGCCACCGTGCCGCCCACGGTGGTCTTTCTCTGGTCTCTCGCTGGTCTCTCTCTCTGGTCTCTCTCTGGTCTCTCGCTGGTCTCTCGCTGGTCTCTCTCTGGTCTCTCTCTGGTCTCTCTCTGGTCTCTCTCTCTGGTCTCTCTCTCTGGTCTCTCTCTCTGGTCTCTCTCTCTGGTCTCTCTCTCTGGTCTCTCTCTCTGGTCTCTCTCTGGTCTTTCTCTGGTCTTTCTCTGGTCTCTCTCTGGTCTCTCTCTCTGGTATCTCTCTCTGGTCTCTCTCTCTCTCTCTTGCTATAAATAGTGAGTTAACTCACGATTAATCGCATTTTTAACATTCTATTTCAAATCCACTCCAATTGAAGTTAAATGAGATTATCAAATGTAATGACACATTGTCATTCAGACCAAATGTACTTAAATCTGTTAGATTTGCTCACAACCTTTTACTTTGGGCACAACCAAAATGAGCTGTTAATGAAAACTCGCTGAAATGAATTCAGAGAGTTTAGTTTAGTTTAGTTTCAGGAGGAGACACGACACTTCAGCGGTGCATTTGCGTGGACAGGTTACACACAGGTTGCAAAGACACGCACACAACATGCAGTAGTTCTGTAGCGTGTATGGTCTTATATGACCGTGTTACTGCGGCGCCATTCGCGGAGGAGGCGGACTTCAGTTCACAGCAAACAGCCCCGCAGTGACACACGTATTCTTTTAAAACATGATTTCCCAGAGACCTGCTCTGATGCATCTCACACGCAGCATTCTGAGTGTTATCATGGATAAATGGGCGGGGCATTCAGACATGCGTTAATCTTTTTTTAACGCGTTAATGAAAAATGTAATTAACGTGAGTTAACGCGATAATTTTGACAGCCCTAATTTTGTATAATAATTCCAAATTAAAGGGAAAAAACTAAGAGATAAAAGAGGCCTTAATAAGAGTGTTACAAAATATTGAACATTGAAAAACAAAATTGTGTGAAAGTGTCATAAGCAGAGCGTACTGTACCTGGTCCCGAAGGAGGTCCATGTCGCAGTACTGACACGTCACACTCGCAAAGGGGCACAGCTGCATGTGGACCTGAAAGACAGAAGCAACACTTAAGACACTTAAAGTGATTGTCTGGAGTTTGTTAGAAAAAAGAGAGAGAGGTACATGATTTGAAAAAAACGACCCAAGCTCCCTCCCCCTTCCTTTCTGATTGGTCTACGCGTACGTTTCCGTAACAATCAATCAACACATTTAAATGTTAATCAGAGAACACATTATACAGTATACATTATTAATACACATGCACGGAGGTTTTCAGAATGATCTATTAACGCTTTCATGAAAAAAACAATGTTTTGATCGCGGTAAACCAGGAAGTAGCTATTATCACTAATTGAACATTATAGGACACATCTGCAGAGGATCTCATTATGGATATAGGTTCAGTATATAAATGATTATGGATATAGGTTCAGTATATAAATGATTATGGATATAGGTTCAGTATATAAATGATTATGGATATAGGTTCAGTATATAAATGATTATGGATATAGGTTCAGTATATAAATGGGTAACTCAGCGCGGATGTTCAGAATTCTTTGTTCAGTTTTCATGTAGTTCCAGAGCCTAATGTAGGCTTGATTCGGAAGCTCCGTGAAAACAAACAACTGAGCATGCGCGCAGCTACGAGCATCAGCGTCGATGATTGACAGCCTTTGGCATCACTTGATTGGTTAAAGTGGACGGCATCGTGGATTTTGAGCTATGGCTAAGAGAAGGGAAGGCGGGACTTACCCGTAATAGTAGAATTCATAAAATGACTTATTTTATATCAACATTTAGAGTTCCAGACTATCACTTTAAGACAGAAAATACTTTTATTTGTGTTGAATTTTGTGTTTTATTTGTGTTACAAATGTATTCCAATGTAGTGTTACTGCAAATGGCGAAATAAATGAATCTGAATCTGAATGTCGAGTGTCCTGGATCATCACAACTATCCTTGGACCCATCAGATGCATCAGAGAGGAACATCTCTAAAAAAACCCAGTGGGAGAAAAGAGGGCTAACCACTCAGCCACAGTGTCGCCCAAATGACCAATGGCTCTATTTTTTTTTTTTCATCATTGCATTTCTTGTGTTTGAACGGTTTGATTCTCTGATCTATGTTGGTGAATCGACAGCCTCCAAGATAACCACTGTTGTGATTTAGGGCGATACAAAAGCAGTAAGTGCGGTACCTCTCGCTCCTCGTAGGTGTAGTAGGCCACGCACTCGGGACAGGACACGGGTCGGCGTGGACACTCCTCGGCGGCGTGCTGCTCCACCAGACTTTTCCTCAGGGCGCTCTGACAGTGAGGGCAGGGAACGGTGGAGAACTCACACTGGGACACGTGGCTCTGAGCGAAAAGGACAAGATTCAAGAAGATACAAGAAATCAGCTGTGACACTCACTGCCCTGACGAAGACTCTGGTCGAAACGCGTCGGTCATTAAAAAGAACACAGTTTTCAGAGTGCCTCCTTCTCCATTTTTTCTTTTGCATACCAGTCTCCAACCCTTGAGTCGGATGAGCACCTGTTAGTGTTTTTACTTTTGTTTAATCCAGTGCAGCACTCCTGCAACCCTTTCACTCAAGATACAAGAAATGTCTCCCTTGGAATGAGAAAATAAAGCAACAGTTCTTGAAATAAGACGAAACAGCATTTCTCGTCAGAATGTACTCAAGTAAGGATTCAAAAAATTTGATTCAAGCATTTAATAACTCAGATTTTCTTATTTTTTTGCAGTGTATTTACATTTGCAGGGAAACAACATTGGAATAACCATGCAAGACTACCCCAGTATGCACCAGGATAGCAAGGCAAGCTAATTTGTATAGCACAGTTCCTACACAAGGCAAAGTGCTTAACAAATCAGGATAGTCAAAACAAGGCATTCAAATCATAAATAATCACAGAACAGTAACAAAGTAAACATAAAATCCTTGTCAGAGAAGAAGCCTGTCTCACATTTTCAGGAAGACTGTTCCAGATTTGAGCTACATACATCTGAAACACTGCCACCTCATTTCTCAGTTCTCACTCTGGGCACCAGCAGGGCACACAACAGAACCCTCTTTGGAGCCATTTTGAGGCCCACCCTGTATAGTTCAACCACAGTAGATGTTGTGGTTGTGACAGGAAATTGGTTTGTCAAGAGGGCTTTCACAATTTCACTCAGAACCAGAGCAGAGAAAATAGTTTGGACCAAGCAGACTCTGTAGACATCAATAAGAGTCTCTGACTCTCTTTCTGTCTCTGTCCCTGTCTCTGACTCAGCCTCTGTCTCTTGACTCTTGACTCTTGACTCTTGACTCTTGACTCTTGACTCTTGACTCTTGACTCTTGACTCTTGTCTCTTGTCTCTTGTCTCTTGTCTCTTGTCTCTGTCTGCCTGTCTCTGTCCCTGTCCCTGTCTCTGTCTCTGACTCTGACTCTGACTCTGTCTGTTTCTGTCTCTGTCTGCCTGTCTCTGCCTCTGTCTCTCTTTCTGTCTCTGTCCCTGGATCTGTCTCTGTCTTTGTCTCTCTTTCTGTCTCTGTCTCTGTCCCTGCCTCTGCCTCTGTCTCTGCCTCTGTCTCTGCCTCTGTCTCTGCCTCTGTCTCTGCCTCTGTCTCTGCCTCTGTCTCTGCCTCTGTCTCTGCCTCTGTCTCTGCCTCTGTCTCTGTCCCTCTGTGTGTGTTAGCATGACACGTGTCCTTTAACTCATTGACTGCCCTTGACGTATTTGCCTGAGAATGGTGATTTCTGTCAATTTTCCCTCTATTTGATATTTTTGCTGATGAAAGTAGATAGTCCAGTCTTTCAGAATCTACATTTCACATAATAAATCATAGCACACAAATTTCTGTGGGTCTTGAAAATCAAAAACGGCTGGCATTCAATGAGTTAAGTGTTGCAAACCTCTAGCTGCCGGAGCTCCATCTTGTCGGTGCAGCCGGTGTTGGGGCAGCGAACGGTGAGAGACAGAATCTCTCTTTTGGCAAAGTTATCAGGAAACAGCTGGTCCTCAGAGAGCATCTCGTTGTCCACTGGGCATCTCTGTCCCGTGTCCCTGTTCACAACACAATTCAATAATGAATACCACATGCTGTTTGAAGTTCTCTGCAAAGTCAGGAGTGGATTGAAGCAGAGACCTGGAGGAAAGATTAAAGGGGACGCAACATGAAAAATGGCTCTGAAAATGTTTGTCCGGTCACTTATGCAAATTTCACTTTCCAGTTTTTATTTACAATAGTCCCTGCTTAGAATGAGTCTGCTGTGAGTGTGAATGTTTGGTGGTGGTGGGAGTGGCCGATGGCACATACTGGTTGCCTCGCTTCTGTCAGTGTGCCCCAGGGCAGCTGTGGCTACAGTAATGGTTTATCACCACTGTATAGAGTGAAAGAATAATGACAGGTGAAGCATCTTTGAGTGTCCAAAAAAAAACGTTATATAAAACATTAATTATTATTATTATTATTATGTTTTAGAGAGATTTTGATTCTGATCTCACCGTATGGATTTCTCAATGCAGTTCTTGCAGAAGCGATGTCCGCAGGGCGTCTGGACGGCGTTGCGGAGTGCCATGAGGCAGATAGGGCACTCGTACTTGCTCTCCAAAGGGGGGTCGAACTCCACGTCGTAGCCCTGCTGGGGGGCCGGAGGTGGGGGGCTACTGCCGTTGCTGAGGAAGGTCGTGGGCCCCTCCCCTGGGCTCAGGACGGACTCGCGCTCCTTTTCAAGCATGGCCATAGCGCAGTCGGACAGCTCCCCACCCACCGCGCCCTCATAATTGTCCTCTTCGAGAGTTTTACACGAGTCAGAGCAGGCCATCTGAGGGGAGGACAGTGTTCAAAACATTTTTTTTTTAAACAAACAAAAACATTACAAACAGAAGACAACATGAACAACACACACTGACATAACTACATATAACAGCAGACACACAGCAGGTGATGTGGGGGATGCAGGGGCTTACATATACGGCAGATATTATTTCAATATTGTGGGTGTAGTTTCACCTTGCACTGTACTTTCTTGGCACAACTCAAGAGGGCTGTGTCCGTGTGTCCAGACACAAAAAACTCTTCATTTCTCAAAACTACTACTATATACAACTGCACTAAGTACACACAATAGAAAACATACTGTTTGTCTCAATTAGAGGGAACCAAGTTTTCCATTATGAGATGAATAAAGTTTATCGTTGTCTTTATCCTCTGTCGGTGTGCCCCCAGGGCGGCTGTGGCTGCAGTAGTAGTTCATCACCTCAGTGTATGGAATGAATGAACTATAAAATGCAACATTATCATCTTATATTCATCATAATTGAGCAAAAAAAACGTATTACTTTTTACTTGTTACTCCCTTGAATTCTGGACTAAACAGAACTCAACAGAACTTACTCAATTACTAATTTTAAATGAATGAATCGGACTACAACACTTTGAGTAATTTGGGTAAATTATGAAGGAACACATCCAGTTACACCATTGTTATAAATGGTAATTGATAATGTAAAGTAGTGTTAGGTACAGGAGCACACAAGGGCAGGTCGCCATGCGGAACTATAACACTATGCACTTTTCGAAACACCGCAAACAAACAAAAAGAGCAAGATAAACATGTTTATATTATGTGTATAGAGCTATAACAAATATCTGGGTTTGATGCTCGTTGCATTAAATGTCCAACTCACCTGAAAACTGCTGTGAAGTTTTCTTTTAGGTGGATTTCCTGTTTTTTTTTTTTACTCGAAACGTGATCACGTGGCTGCCGTAGAAAGGGCTGCGTTCAAAATCAAGTAACGTATCTCATTCTTTCTTCTTTATCCTTTCACAATGACTTGCGTAGCATTATAATTAACATGGTTGGTACTGAAACGTTTTAAAAGTATTACATTTCATAAAAGGGCTCATTAAAGTTCAATTGTGATTGAGAACAAGGAAAAGGATGAAGGAAGGAGGTGATTATTATAGTTTGGAGGCATGACTAGACACCCTGTAAAAGTATTCTGCTGCCCTCTGCTGTCTATTTATTAAACTTTCACAACATTCATTTCACGATTTATCTGCAGGTTGTAATATACAGTCTATTGGTGTAATAGTGTAATAAATGTGTAACAAGGGTTCGATGTTTTTCATATTTTTAGTACTAATGGTATGCAGTCACTCACAATGGCTTCAGCGCTGTACGGTTACGGTCTAGTTATTCACTCTCTCCAAATCTGTGCGGATTTTTCAGTGTTGCATCACAAGTTACAGAACAGTAGGAATGCTGACAAAAACTTTAAAAATCTATAACTTTAGCATAATTAAGAAGCATCTATAAAGCAGGGGTGTTTGTTTTTGTGTCGCCTATAGCACCTTTCTTGGATTTTTTTGTTTACAATAAAACAAAGAATTGGGATAAAGTAAAAGAAATTGTACAATGGCTGTACAACGGTATGCAGTCACCTTTGTGAGTGACTGCATTCCAGAAACAAAAACACAAAAGCGCTACATGTTGTTATTGATAAAAAGATCCAAAACATTCAATTATTACACTGTGGTGGCACCACAACAACCCTGTTGGTTCCACCCCAAAAACAAAGTACTACACAACACTTAAAAGATCAAAAACTTTCAAAACATAAACTTGAAAAGATAAAGCAAAATAGTTATTAAAGATAAGAAAAAGTACAACAACAAAAAAAAAAACAGTATCGTTTTCCCCAAGACTGTAGTAATTATGTTATAACCACACAATCCTCTGTTCATGCAGCTTTTAACTGTATTTTAACCGTATTTTAATTTAATATACATCTCCCTTGTGGTTTAATGTGACCTTAAGTATCTAGAAAGGCGCCTCAGAAATAAAAAAAATATATTAGTTTTATGGTTGCACGGCCGTCTACAGCGCCCCCTGTCGGTGGGAGGTCGCGGTGACGTTTGCTCTCAGAAACAAAGATGGCGGCGGAGCTCAGGAAAACCTCCCCTGACTCTACGCCGCGTTCAGCCCTCTCTGTCCCCAAAACACTGCTGCGATGGAGGCTGATCCTTCTCCTCTGCGTCCTGGCCGTGGACTCCGCCCGGGCCACGACTCACTGGGTGGTCACAGAGGACGGCAAGATCCAGCAGCAGGTAAGGATGACAGCTAGCATTGGTCGCTACCTGATTCGTACCCAGCTGCTAGCCTCTTCTATGACTGTCATAAATGTGGGGTTGATTGTTTTATTATTTTTATGTCGTGGTGGTTTGTGTGAGAAAAAAGGCATACGATTGCTTTTCAATGACTCACTCTGGCGTTAATTATTCAATACGTGACTGTGCCAACTCATGTGTCTTGTTATGCCTGTACCTTACTCTCTAAACTAAAGTCATCGTGTTCTAGGGCAAGCTGTTATCAGTACTGATTATTGGCACCTAACAGGTTTACCATGGATCCTGTTGAGAGACTTTGAAATCCTTTTTTTCAGGATTTAAAAGTATGTATCATTTACAGTATAGTGAAGTGTCACTTGTTTATGGTAGTAAAAAGACCCCCAGAGTTATTAAATTATTTCAAGTATCATGGAATAAAATGGGACTGTATCTATCGAGGTGGATCGATAAGAAGTGAATCCTCTTGAGCAGAGGTCGTAACCTTTTTTGCTGAGAGCCAAAAAAGTCTCCTACTTATTTCTATGGGAGCCATACATATTTATTCCTGTGATGATGTATGATTTTTTGAAAACAAGATCAACACAACAACATAAGAAAAAAGATAAGACTTTTATTCGTCCCACAGTGGGGAAATGTCAATGTCATTGTTGTACATTGCAGAATATAAGAAAAGAGGAAAATAAAGAGCACTGGTATTGCACACATCAAACAGGATATATTATTTAAGATATTGGATAACACAATTTAATGAAATACTAAAGATTCAGATCAGATTCAGATTCATTTATTTTCCATTTGCAGTAAAACCACATGGGAATACATTTTTAAAAATCCCCAGTTTGCAAGTACATACATAAAACAACAAAAGTACAGAAATAAAACAAATAAAATAGTAAACAATTGTCACTGTGAAATCAATCGACTAAAACAGTTTCAAAACAAGTGCAAGGACATTAAAGTGCTCTGTTCAAACTGATAACAGCTTGTGGGAAAAAGCTGTTTGCATATCGAGATGTCCTGCATCTCAGCGAACGATATCTTCTGCCAGAAGGAATAAGCTGGAACATTGCTTTTCCAGGGTGGCCAGAAGAGTCATTGATTATTGTAAGTGCTTGGTTTAAAAGTCTGGATTTATAAAGAACTTCCAGAACAGAAAGCTCACAGCTCACAGTCCTCTTTGCAGAGCGGAGTACCTTGTTTAGAGCTCTCCTTTCCTTGTCTGTGATGTTACTAAACCACACAGTCAGTTTAAGTAATAAAATAATGAAATTAAATAAAGTAGAACTCTGGAGCTATAATTGCACTTTTTTAAATGACAGTACAGTAGTGGGGTATAATACACTGTGGTCAGCAGGAGGCATTTACAGATGTTTATATTGCCATTTATGACAGAAATATCAGATAAATGGAATATGTAATAATGTAGTAATAATAACCACTGGAAAAGTGACTAGTGACCAGTAAGGTACACGTGGATTTGGAGTGTAATGTTTGTCTCAAACTGTATTATTTTGTTCATTAAAATTTTTATACTGAAGAAATACAAAACAAAAAACATTCACAGAATACCTACGAATTTTTTTCTGAGAGCCACAGGTTCCTGACCCCTGCTCTTGAGGATGTCCTAAAACATTTGATAAATTCCATGTTTATTTTTATGTAATTACTGCTTTGTCCGAGTATTCTAATGTCTCACCACATTTATGTGTGTGAGTCAACTGTGATTGAAGAAATTAATGATTCTAAGAGGATTAAAATAGTTCCCGATTGGAAAAGACAATGAATGTTCACAGGCCAGAGTCACAAAGTGCTCCAGTGACAGTGAGTAGAGTTTGCATGTTCTCCCCATGCTATTCCTTTTTTTCTACCACTAAAATATTAAGAATGGGACTTAGGGTGTAACTTAAGATTATTTTGGTTATTGATTGATTTGTTTAATTGTGGACCAAATATTGCAATCGCATCGTTACATTTTTGCCAGTTCCACTGCCACACTTAATCTCCAGCGTTAAAAGATAAAACCGCAGTTTAAATGTATTTTGTCTTGTCTCTGTAGGTGGACTCCCCTTTGAACCTGAAGCATCCTCATGATGTAGTGATCTTCATGAGACAAGAGGCTCGTGTCAACTACCTCAAAAAACTGGAGGTGGGTGAAGTCTGTGGAGCCGGTCTCCTTGTTCCCCCGTTCTGTACTCTTCACTTACCTTACTACCTTCAACCTTTTCTCACTTTTTCTGCCCTTGGAATAATTGTATGTGGCTGATTTTTCAAATTAAGTTATACACAGTCGTTAAATAATTTTTTATTTTTCTTAATGGACATTTAATCAAAATTCATGGACATTGGCCATCTGCTGCTTAGGGACCAATGGCTCTATGTGTTTTTTATCATTGCATTTCTTGTGTTTAAACTGTTTGATTCTCTGATCTGTGTTGTCGAATTCAACGGTTGAATTAATACAAACAAAACCAGTGCCCTAAAAATACAAATAAAACTCAACATTTACCTAAAGAAAGACAAATATAAGTTTAATAGCATTCTTATTATTAATGAGATTGAGTGAAGTTGGAAAATATTTGAATGAGTTCAAAAAAATTCATATGAAAATGAGGCATTTAAAAATATAAAAATAAACAACATTTGTGTATGTAGTGTTTAGCTAACAATATAGATACATATCAGGAACAGCTAGATTTGGCACTAGGATTCCTCCCGCCCCATATCCCTTGTTGAAAGTCAAAAATTAGATAAATAAATGATCAAAATCCTCTGTCACATCTCACAGAATCCACATTTATCCACATCCAATTTAAATCTTTTCCTCAGGAATGTATTAGTTGGGAATATCCATTATGTTTTGAACTTTTTTTTGCTGTTGTAGAAGCAGCTGGTGGCTCAGAAGATCCACATCGAGGAGAATGAGGACCGCGACACAGGGCTGGAGCAGAGGCACTACAAGGAGGACGCAGACTGTGTTCTGGCCAAGGTCCCTCTGGGAGACCTGGACCTGTACGATGGGACCTACATCTCCCTGGAGAGCAAGCACATCAGGTCTGAGAGGCTCTGAGTGGAGGGAACCAGTCTATTCCAGGGGGGTCGAACTCATTCTGGACGGGGCCAAGTTTAGAAACATAAGAGCTGGTTGGGGCCAAAAGTATAAAAGTTATTTACTTTGATTATTATTACTTTTTTTTAATAACTTCATGATTTCATTTAACTTGAGTTTGGATATTATTTTCTTGTAGGTTGTGATTCAATCACAGCTGAGCCAAACATCAAAAATAAATCTAATTTGAAAATTCATAATTAAATGAAAAAAAATCTTTGGCCAAACTTAACTTGTTATGACACGTTAGTTCATGAAGTATAACATGCCATAGATAACATTACCATCAATGCTGCAAGTTAATGTAATAATGATAATTGAAAATCATTTCAGGGGCTACTAAAATGGTCTGTCGGGCCGGATATGGTTCGCGGGCCTGAGTTTGACATTTCTGGTCTAGTCCATGTAATCTTAACACATCTGTATTGGATAGAAGCAGCTGATGAAAGACAATTTTCAGATAATGTTGTGATAGTGATTAGATTCATTCGAGTCTAATCTAGTGTGGTGGTCAGAGGGGGCAAAAATATTATTACTATTACTCCAATTTAGTTTTGTGAATTTCTCCAGTAAAATTGTATTCTTTACAGCCGTGGGCCTTTGACTATGTGTTAGATATCTATTACTGAAAAGATCCTCTTGTGTGTTAGTCCTGAAGATTACGTGGACTCTCGCTCGTCTCTCCCTCCGGACCTGCAAACTCCAGACTGCACCAGAGTCTTTGATCTCCCCTACAGCATCCACGCCTTCCAGCACCTGAGGGTGAGGCCACATCCCACTTCATTCATTTTGTATATTTTATTAAACTTGGGGGCTCCTCAACTGGGACTGGACTGGTTTTAAAGATTTTTTAAAAGGAACCAGTTGTGTGAGCATTGACGGATTTGGACACCTGCTTTTGTATAATGTGAACGTAACAATGTAACATGTGTTTTTAATCGTGTTAAAAGCTGCTAATGGAGACTGAGATTGCAAATTAGTCTTAGCTATAAATGTTGCAGTGTTTCACATTGTTGATTGTGTTCTCTTGTCCCTATCAAATAAATAGATAAAATAAAATAAATATTCTCTGTGTTCTTGTTCCAGGGAGTACAGGAGCGCGCTAACCTCACGTCGCCGCTGCTTTCAAAAGACGACCCAATTTTTCACTCTTTATCTAAAAAGTTGGGCCGCAGTATCGGCGAAGTGGGTCATCGCATCCATCTCGCTCTGCAGAGGGTAAGGCACAGTGGCAGGACTTTTAAGCGGACATTATTCCTCCCTCCGAAGGACTTGGACCATCATGATCCTGTAGTTTTTTTATCCTATCCACACAGAACTATCAAAGATGATTCTCTACTTTGTTTGACCTTGGTCTGTGAAATGCGCTATATTTTTAAAGGCTACTACTACCACTACTAACAAAAGATTCAGATCAGATTCTGTATATTTGCCATTTGCAGTAAAACCACATTGGAATACATGTGCAAAAGTCCCATATGTCCACCAGACAAGTACATGAATAAAATCAACAAAAAAAGTACTGGAAAATTAAAGTGCCTTGTTCAGATTAATAACATCTGAAATTAGCTGTTAGCATATCCAGATGTTCTGCATCTTCTGCCAGAGAGAAGAAGCCAGAAGAGTCATTGATTCTTTGAAGGGCTGGATTTAGCGTCTGTGCTGCCCTTGGGTCACAATGACCTGCCACAGATGGTTGAAAGTAGAAGAAAAACACTCTGCATTAGGGTCTAAATGACCCAGGGCGGGTCAAGCTAGTGAAAATCATCAAAATTCAGCTTGGATAAAACATTTTTTAGGCTATTTTTAATAACTCTGGTGGCTCATTTTGACACAAGGATTCATAAAGAACCTCCAGAACAGACAGCTCACAGTCCTCTTTCAGAGTGGAGCGCCTTGTTAGATCTCTCCTTTCTTTATTTGTGATGTATGTGAAATGTATCCTTTATCAAAAGTCATTAAGTGTACTAGGCATTCCTGATGGCCAAAGAAGATCTCCCTTAAACAGATTTAGACAGATGAGAATATTATATAAGAGATGGGTATGATGAGAATATAGAAATTTAGAAAAAACAAAAGTGCTGTTTATATATTTTCATTATATTATCTCTCCAAACTAATTTTTTGCATTTCTCCATCAGATCCTATTGGCATACACACATGCTTTCAGTTTTCTTTTCCAATGTCTTAGTAATAAATAATGACAGTATTGCATGAAGATTATTAATGATAGTATTGCATGCATTTACCTTCTTCACACTAGATTCAAACAAAGGCCCATAATCTCTCTCCTCCATGAGTTGAAATGTGTGTGTTTCAGAATTCATCATCATGGGTGCTTTACAACATGGCCTCGTTCTTTTGGAGGATTAAGAACGAGCCTCAGAAAGCCGTGGACTGTGTAGTCCGTGCGCTGCACTTCTCCCCCAGGTAACTTCCAGTTTCTACTGCTTACTTTACTTTAAACTTTACTTAGAATTGTTGTTAAGTGGAGAGTTCAAAATGATCATTGTTGAAAGGGTTGAATTTTTGTGTTTCCTTTCATGCAACTTTTTGACATTTTTTATATTGTACGTGCCTCCATTGTAAGATCAATAAAGTTTTTTCTTGTCACAAGCAGACCCAGAGTTCCATCCACACTAAAAATATCAGGGACATATAGACACACACTTTATGATGATAGAAAGTGTGTGTTGACTCCTCTCTGCCTTCCATACCTCTCAATTTAATTAATTTCAATGTTTTTTTGTATCGTCCCTAAATCACAACAGTAGAGCTTGAAGGACGTAGCAAAGTTGTTAATTCGCCAACACAGACCAGAGAATAAATGTCCGATAAATGTCCGTACTTGTCTCCGCTGCAGACAGCACAAAGACGTGGCGCTGGTGAACATGGCCATCATCTTGCACCGCGCTCACTACTCCGCTGACGCCGCCATCCTGGCCCACGCTGCTCTCGACCTGACCTCTGACCTCTTCACCAGCCACTACACGCTGGGCAACATTTATGCGGTCAGTCCCAACACATAATGGAAGGCCAAGGTGTTTGTATCGCACAGTTCATACACAAGGCAACTCAAAGTGCTGAACACAAGATAAAAAACAATCACATAAGGCATTAAAGCATAAATAACCACAGAACATTAAAATAGACTTACACAAGCAGAGCTGTTTTAAAATCTATTCTGAGCACCAGGAGGCCAGTGCATAGACCTGAGAACTGGAATGATGTGATCTTATTTCCTGGTTCTAGTCAGGACGTACGCACGCAAACGGGAAGCTTTTAGAAATTGTCATTAAAAGAATATTTTCTTACATTGCATCACTGTGGTAATTGGGAGTTGACAGACATGCTTTCCTGGAATCCTGAGTGGTGACCTGGTTTATACTGTATATTTAACATTCCCCTGGTTTAGAATCTGTGCGCTGGAACATTGAACACTGTTATATGTCTGCTGATCATTCCATAGCTAGTCTGTGTATAAACTGAGCCCTTAATTACTTTGTTACTTACTTTGTGAGAACTGCCAAAGCTGCAGTCACGTCTGTAAGTTCTACTTAGAGCTGTGCTATACAAATAATCCCGTCTTGTCTATTGTAGTAGGAGTGATGTTCCTTGTGTGTTTGACTGTGCTGTGGTCTCAGATGCTGGGCGAGTACAACCACTCGGTGCTGTGTTACGAGCAGGCGCTGCAGACGCTGCCGGACTTTGAGCCCGCCATCAGGAGGAAACACGCAGTGCTCTGTCAGCAGAAGCTGGAGCAGCGCCTTGAGGCTCAACACAGGTACTGCACCTACCCCTTCAGAGATTCAGGCCTGTTTGTCCTCAAAATAAAAATGTCACCTATGAAATCAGTTTGACCTCTTGGTAGCTAGCTAATAAAGTTGTGAATTATGTCGATTTTGAATGAGAAAAAACAAGATTCTGTCATATTTTATATGAGGGCGTTGTTCATCCATTGGATATGTGGTTTTATTTTTTGCAAAATTGTATTTAAATCAATTTTCATCATTATCAAATTTGACCTTTTAAATGTATTTTTAATTTGTATTATTTGATATCTTTGCTGTTACTGTACTGTAGGTACTGTAGCTTCTAAAAAAGGGTCTCATCTGGCTTTAATCCATTTTTTGTGGAAAAGTGGAATGCCACTAAAAACACAATCGTTTAATCCTGAGGCTCTGGTCCTGACCAAGCTGAGCATCAACCTCTGGACCGAGGGTCCCAGTTCACTGCTTGATTTAAAAGAGGAGAATCAGTGGTTTGGAGGTCACTTTGAATCCTTTCACACTTGTATTATTTCTGTGTGTTCATAGATCTCTGCAGCGAACACTAAATGAGCTGAAAGAATACCAGAAGCAACACGACCACTACCTCCGCCAGCAGGAGGCGCTAGACAAACACAAGCTGCTGCAGGAAGAGCAGATACTGAGGAACATTATTCATGAGACGCAGATGGCCAAGGAAGCCCAGCTCGGTGAGAGTCCTACTGCTGCTCTGTGTGGATTGTCTTATCTGATCCTACTTATCCATTGGAAGTTCACTTTATTATACTCACGATTCATGCAATAATTGAACATTTAATTATCATTTAAAAATACACGTAGCGTGACACACATTTTTTTTTTCTCTCAAGCAGCGTTTATAAGAAATACATCAAATATTTTAGTCGGTGATTAATCATTGCTGCTTTAGATATATACTCAAACATGTGTGTGCTGGGAGATCTGATCAAACAGCAGTTAGAGTACTCTTCAGTTTGATCTGGATCAAATTGAAAATCCAATATTGTATTTACCTTTTTTAACAACATTTTGAAAACCAATCCACACATAACCAAACATGTGTTTTCAATCACATTCATAACATTACAAACATGTCCTCTGACATCCTACGTTGGGGAAAAACACAGAAGTGGGCGGAGCTTTGATGCTAACGCTGGTACTTCTGTATCGGCACTTTTACAGTCATAGTAGAAACTCTGGGTGAAGACATATTATTATAGATCCATGGTAAAGACATATGTTTACAAGCACTGACCCCCGTCCTCAGTCCTGGTTTAATCCTGGTTTAGCTCCTGTTTTGGTTGTTTTCGAGCGTGAGTCCCCGTGATCACTTTGCTGCTCTTTGATGTGGAGCGAGGATGTCCGCTGCTGCGAACCGCTGCAGCGGACAGTTTTTAAGGCAGTAAGATCCTTCTTCAGTGATCAAAGGTCACACTTTTAACACTAATGAGTGTTAAAAGTGTTAAAAGCCAGGAGGAATAAATGAGTTTTGAGCCTCAATTTAAAAAGCTGAGCTGAGGACCTCAAGGATCTGCCCGAGTCACAAACAGTCAAGAATTCGGAACATTTTAAAATCACCTCTAAACAAAACCGTTTGTGGTAATATAATGTTTCTGCAGGCCGGAAAAACCAAAGTATGACAATATCAGACATAAATCTGGATCACCTCTATAATAAATGTTTATGTTTGTAATTGTTTGAATCCAGGAAACCACCAGATGTGTGGTTTGGGACAGCAGCAGCGCAGCCTCCACTGTCCCTTCGATCTTCCCGTGCGCTACCACCGCGGAGACCTGTTTGAACATGTGCATTCAGTGCAAGTGAGTGAAGATGAGATGAAACTTTGTCACAGTCGCTAAACATAACAGCAGATAGAAGGAGAAATAATAGATTTTGCAAGCATCAAACAGGATCTAATACTTAGGATTATACATTGATAATACAATAATAAGATCATAAAACACATTGCCATTTACCAGCTCTAGAATGTCACTACTGTGTCTTTATAAGTTGATATTCTTGCTGCTCTTATGAAACAGAGCAGCTACTTATAGTGTATATTTTGTGTGTTTGTGTGTTTCAGTTTGGGGAGGAGGTCTCTGTGGCCTCCAGTGTGGCGCTAGTGTCCGAACACGGCTCAAACCAGAGCGTCCCGTCTCCATGGCTACACCGCTCCATCAGCAGAGAGCAGGACCCGGCCGGTGCACTGTGGGCCGGCCAGCCTCACACACAGGTACGATTCAGAATCACTTTATTTGCCATTCACAGTAAAACCTCAGTGGGATACATGTGTAAAGGTCCCCCAGTGTGCACCAGACAAGTACAGGAATAAAACAAACAAAGAGTACTAGAAAAAGTAGTCATTGTGAAAACGGTTCCAATAGCAAGTGCAACATCATCAAATTCGATTTAATTCAATTTATTCTTGACGAGCCCTGAATCACAACAGTAGTTCTCTCTGAGGACTTTACAAAGCTGTTAAATTTGCAAACACAGATCAGAGAATCAAACCGTTCAAACCAGTGGAGGTGGATCCCGTTGTTCTGTCGAGTTGGTCTGCCCGTCGAGATGATCTGCCTCAGCTGATAATGATGTAATGCAAACCAGCGCCGCGCGTCTCACGGCAGCCGAAGCAAACCAAGATGGCGGACATGTAGTCCGCGAATTGCTTTAAAAGGTAAAATACGAACGAATTAAGACACAAATGTCACTTTTAATGCAATTTGAGGCGAGATGTTGATGGTTCCGTGTTGTGATATGTGTGTTTTTAAGAGTAAGAGTTTCGTGTAAAGTTTGTTTTAAGCAGTCCACAGCTCCTGTGAAACTACACTGCTACTGTTTTGATAGCAGTCCCTGAGTTGACTGCTGCATACGTCATTTTACTGACTGGTCTGTCGGGTTGATAATGGAAATAATAAATTCAATTTATACTGTATTCAATTTATACTGTATTCAATATATACTGTATTCAATATGTTTAACAATTGTGTGTTCAAACGAAATATTTAAATAGATCGAGTTTTTTCCCCCATTCTGGCGGGTTTCTGCGCATGCGCAAATCAGATTTGGGTACACTAGCAGTGTAGTTTCACAGGAGCAGTGGACAGCTTAAAACAAACTTTACACAAAACTCTTACTCTTAAAACACACATATCACAACACGGAACCATCAACATCTCGCCTCAAATTGCATTAAACGTGACATTCGTGTCTTAATTTGTTTGTATGTTAACTTTTAAAGCAATTTGCGGACTACATGTCTGCCATCTTGGTTTGCTTCGGCTGCCGTGAGATGCGCTGCGCAGGTTTACATTACATCATTAACAGCTGAGCCAGATCTTCTCGACGGGCAGACCAACTCGACAGAACACCGGCTCAAAAGGGTGCTGTACCCGGAAACAGAATTATCTAAGGAATTCTTATGGTGCCTTTTTTTCCTCTCAAAAACATCTTTACAGTCTGCTCCAAAAGTTGGCTCTTGGCTCAGCGTCCCAGATGCTGTCAATGCTAAGGGGAGTATTTGGTTTTGGACCAGCCATTTCGACAAAGTCAGCTGGAGGCAAAGTGCTAACACAAGGGTGGAGATAGGCGTCACTACGTCTGAATAGTTACAGTCTGGGGTTCAAACACGAGGGAAATGCAATGATAAAAAACACATAGAGCCGATGGTCCATAAGGGGCAGATGACCAATGTCCATAAATGCTAATAGATGTTAACATACAGAAATACAAAACTACAATCACAGAAGCATTTTGAATTCTGCTTTCTGTACATTGAAAGTCGCCGCAACGCATGATCCGGTCGGAACGCTGCTTTAGAATCCATAAAAAAGTTATCCATCATAGTCATCTGCTTGTAGTTTTGAGCTCATTTCAGAATCGTGCCTTTGTCTTCTATACAGTCATTACAATACATTTTCAACTATCGGAATCTAAATATTGATTGATGATTCAACAGTTCGATTCTCTGATCAACTTTTTTTTTGTCTTCATCGAAAACTACTGTTGTGATTTAGGGCTGTACACGAATGAATTGATTTGAGTTAAAACTTTAACAGTGCAAACATTTTAACATGAGTATGATTCTCACGCAGGACATGCAGAAAACCCTGTGGCCGCAGAGATCTGACTGTGCCTCTCAGTTCCCGGTGGTGCCCTCTGCTGGAGAACTGCCCACCTTCTACATTCCTCCTGAAACGCTCAGGTATCTTCTATCTCCACTGTGTTCTGGCTTTTGTCTGGCTTCAATATAAATAATGTGTCTGTCTGTAGCCCGGTGTCCAGTGCTCTGTATGAAGGCGCCCCCCCACAGAGCTCCGCGGTCCCAGACTGTGGCCCTGTGTTCCAACCCTATCCCTCTGCTCTGCCTGCCTCTCTGGACTGGCCCCTGGAGGGGACTCAGCAGCCGGATCCTTATGCTGCACAGGTAATGATTAGGGCTGGGAAGAAAAGTGACGATTTGATAGTTAGTGCACCTTTAAGAATCGCAATGATTTTGAATTGTGGCCAAAATATTGCAATACTGACTTTATTTTTGTATTCATTACAAAAATGCAATCCATATCCATGCAGTGCATTGGGATATTCGTCCTTTTGAAGATAAAGTAGCGCAGGTTTGTGCTGGCGTGTCATTGGATTTTAGATCGAGTTTTTGAGCAACAAGGAAGAGAATGTGTTTCGGGTCCCTATTGTGACCAATCACAGCGGACCACTGGCCCCCACTTTCTTGAGAAAAGCTACAGGTCCCTCGTTAGCACAGACAGCTGAGTTAGCACAACAAACGGCGGAGGCTAGCCTGAAACTTCCCGTGTCTTCGTTAGCGGTTACTGCTTACACAGCGAAACATCCATCCAAAAGAAAGTCTCGTCCTCTCTGCGCTCCCCGGTTCTATCAGTCTATGGTCACACCATCCACGTTCAAATGTGTAATCCATACATGGATCTATCCATGAGACGCTAGCTCTGTAAACAACAGTGGGTGTGGGGTAGTGGGGGGCGATAGCTTCGTGGGTGCGGGGAGGAAAAAGAGCGAGGCCAGCGAAACCGCTGCTTCGAAATCCCAAAGTCAGTTAGTGCAGCTTGAACATATTTGGCTACATTCATGTCCCTCATAATATTCAAAGGCATTACAAAAATTGAGGAAATAAGATTAAATTCTTCTGTGACATTTATTACGATGTGCACATGGACTGAAGCAAACAGGATTGTGTAAAAACATTATCCTTGAACATTCAGGACACAGGACCTTATTACAAACAAGACATCATTATTTTCTTTTAAAAATGTGCTATATGAATAAAGTGGATTGGATTGCGTTGAACTGACAACTCTCACATGAATGGAGAACTCCCAGCATCACTTTACATCATTTACATACAACTGACTAGAGTCACAACAAGCAGACATCATAGAGTCACAACAAGCAAACATCATAGTCACAACAAGCAGACATCATAGAGTCACAACAAGCAGACATCATAGAGTCACAACAAGCAGACGTCATAGAGTCACAACAAGCAGACATCAGAGTCACAACAAGCAGACGTCATAGAGTCACAACAAGCAGACATAGAGTCACAACAAGCAGACATCATAGAGTCACAACAAGCAAACAGCATAGAGTCACAACAGGCAGACGTCATAGAGTCACAACAGGCAGACGTCATAGTCACAACAGGCAGACGTCATAGAGTCACAAAAAGCAGACATCATAGAGTCACAACAAGCAGACATCATAGAGTCACAACAAGCAGACGTCATAGAGTCACAACAAGCAGACGTCATAGAGTCACAACAAGCAGACATCATAGAGTCACAACAAGCAGACATCATAGTCACAACAAGCAGACATCATAAGGGGCGTTCACACCGGACTTAACTTCGGCGTCAAAAGCGTCAGGTTTCCATTGAAAGTGAATGGTGAAGCGCGTCAGGTGAAGCCGAGAGCCCCGGCGTCACTTGACGCGCGTCAAAAGCTTCAAGAGTCGCGCGTACTACGCGCTCACTTGAAGCTTTTGACGCGCGAAACACTCGCGTATCACAACAATCCCTTTGACGCCGAAGCTGAGCAAAGCTGAGCTTTTGAAGCTTTGACGCGGGCTTCAACCAATCAGGAGACGAGGAGCAGCAGCAGCAGAGGGTCTGTCTCTGTCATGGAGAGAAGTCATGTATCTGCTGCTGCTGTTTTATTGTCATTATTGTTATTAGTAATATTATTTGTATGAGTAGTAACATTCTGAGTAACAAAAATCATTGTATACATGCTGTGTAGTAAACGTAGTTTATTTAAAATAAGAACAGGCTGACGATGAGTCTGGCTCAGAGCAAGGCAGCTCCGGGCGGGCGAGAACCGCGGAGAGGCAGGGAGAGGCGAGCGAGAGCCGGGGAGAGGCAGGGAGAGGCGAGCGAGAGGCGGGGAGAGGCAGGGAGAGGCGAGCGAGAGCCGGGGAGAGGCAGGGAGAGGCGAGCGAGAGCCGGGGAGAGGCAGGGGAGAGGCGAGCGAGAGCCGGGGAGAGGCAGGGAGAGGCGAGCGAGAGGCGGGGAGAGGCAGGGAGAGGCGAGAGCGAGGCGGGAAGAGGCGAGCAAGAGCCGGGGAGAGGCAGGGAGAGGCGAGAGCGAGGCGGGGAGAGGCAGGGAGAGCCGGGGAGAGGCGAGCTCCGGGGTTTGAGAACTCAGACTGGGCGAGTGACATGCGGAAGTACCGCTGAAAGCGAAACTCCTCCGTACGCAGCTCCTGGAGTAAATGACGGAACTCTGCAAACACTGCAGCCTCTCAAGTCTGTGGTGAACCCAGAACATGTTTTGTTGAAGCCCTACAACAACGTTATTTTGCTTTATATAACAAATAAAGGCTCGCTGCTCATTGAAAAATCCACCGCTGTCCTGACAACAGAAAACAGAGAAGCTCCTCCCACCGGCGTCAGGCGCGTCACTCGCGTCAAAAGCTTCAAGCACCAAAATGACAAAACTATCCCGGCGTCAGTTGAAGCGCGTCAAAAGCTTTTTGAAGCTTTTGGTCTGAACGCGCCTATAGAGTCACAACAAGCAGACATCATAGAGTCACAACAAGCAAACAGCATAGAGTCACAACAGGCAGACGTCATAGAGTCACAACAGGCAGACGTCATAGTCACAACAAGCAGACATCATAGAGTCACAACAAGCAGACATCATAGAGTCACAACAAGCAGACTTCATAGAGTCACAACAAGCAGACGTCATAGAGTCAAAACAAGCAGACATCATAGAGTCACAACAAGCAGACGTCATAGAGTCACAACAAGCAAACAGCATAGAGTCACAACAGGCAGACGTCATAGTCACAACAGGCAGACGTCATAGAGTCACAACAAGCAGACATCATAGAGTCACAACAAGCAGACGTCATAGAGTTACAACAAGCAGACGTCATAGAGTCACGACAAGCAGACGTCATAGAGTCACGACAAGCAGACGTCATAGAGTCACAACAAGCAGACATCATAGTCACAACAAGCAGACGTCATAGAGTCACAACAAGCAGACATCATAGAGTCACAACAAGCAGACATCATAGAGTCACAACAAGCAGACATCATAGAGTCACAACAAGCAGACATCATAGAGTCACAACAAGCAGACATCATAGTCACAACAAGCAGACAGCATTAATTACAGATATACTGTCTTTCACCAGAGAATCATATTTTATCTCCATGGGTTCAGCTGACTTTCCACCTCCGTAAAGTCTTGTTCCTGGTGATTCTCTGTCTCGGGTGGAGCTGAAGCCTGAGACTCAATCTACCAAAAGCAAAAGAAGAATTGGAATAAAGTCTACTAGAGCTGGGTTTCTCAGATTTGTCTTGTTGCTTCTAGATTTTACAACTGCGCAGTGGCGGCTGGACCCTGGAGCAGGTCGGCAATAGAATCGCTCAAGCTTTAAAAGAAGTAAGTACTATTTTTTCTATTTTTTCTTCTGCCTAAAAAGCTTTTATTTAGATATATTGTTAAATTATAATCATACGCAAACAAACTATTCTTGTCAGCTCGACTCTGCATCCTTTTTCTCACTTTACATCGATGGATATACTACTAAATGTTTGTTAGTTATGTTTGCAAGATCTCTTTTGATCTTCTTTGGGATGAAAATGAATAAAGTATTTTCTTCTTTGTGCTTATGTCTAGAATAAGGGTTCACAAGATTATTTACAGAATATATGTATACATACATCTTTATGATCCCAAAATTATTTTTAGATGAAGTAAAATTTTACTGTAGATAAAATGGCAAAATAAATAACTCAAACTACATCAACAGGAATATAGCATTTTTTTACTGGTGAATTGTTATACGTGTTCTAGTACATTGTGTGCATTAGTTTCTGATTACGAACATTTATTTTCTATGTAGAGACACATTCAAGTACAAACTATGAAATATTTTAGATAATTTCTGATATATCAAGACAAGTACATGAAATAAAACAAGCTAAAAAGAACAAGAAACAATTGTCACTGTGGGAGCAAACAACAAAAACAGTTTCAAAACAAGTGCAAGTATTCTATTTTATTTCTATCTTACTTTTATAAACTGGACGGGTGCAGTAACGTGTGTTGTTCCCCCAGTCCTCCGCAGCCCCTCGCTGGCTGCTCCTGAATGAGGCCGCTCTGTTTTGGCGTGCTAAAGGAAACGGCAGCCGCGCCCTGCAGTGCCTGAGGAAGGGGCTGAGCTCGGCGCCCCCGGCTCACCGCGCCCTGGGCCTCACCAACGCCGCCAACCTGCTCCTGCACCACGGCCTCACCTCCTCCGCTCACTCTCTCCTGGAGCAGTCGCTGGCTCTCAACGCCTCCGAGGTAACTGGACACCTGTGTAACTGGAAATGTGTGAGAGAGAGAGGGAGGGAGAGCGAGACCAGAGAGGGAGGGAGAGCGAGACCAGAGAGCGAGACCAGAGAGCGAGACCAGAGAACGAGACCAGAGAGCGAGACCAGAGAGCGAGACCAGAGAGCGAGACCAGAGAGCGAGACCAGAGAGCGAGACCAGAGAGCGAGACCAGAGAGCGAGACCAGAGAGCGAGACCAGAGAGCGAGACCAGAGAGCGAGACCAGAGAGCGAGACCAGAGAGCGAGACCAGAGAGCGAGACCAGAGAGCGAGACCAGAGAGCGAGACCAGAGAGCGAGACCAGAGAGCGAGACCAGAGAGCGAGACCAGAGAGAGACCAGAGAGATCGAGACCAGAGAGATCGGTAGACCAGAGAGATCGGTAGACCAGAGAGATCGGTAGACCAGAGAGATCGGTAGACCAGAGAGATCGGTAGACCAGAGAGATCGGTAGACCAGAGAGATCGGTAGACCAGAGAGATCGGTAGACCAGAGAGATCGGTAGACCAGAGAGATCGGTAGACCAGAGAGATCGGTAGACCAGAGAGATCGGTAGACCAGAGAGATCGGTAGACCAGAGAGATCGGTAGACCAGAGAGATCGGTAGACCAGAGAGATCGGTAGACCAGAGAGATCGGTAGACCAGAGAGATCGGTAGACCAGAGAGATCGGTAGACCAGAGAGAGCGGTAGACCAGAGAGAGCGATAGACCAGAGATAACACCTTTTTAGTTGACTAATCGATGGACATGGCACGTCCACCAACGATTAGACTAGAGCTGTATCCCTAGGGTCACTCTGAACACCCGTACTTGTCCTTCTCCATCATAGCCGCACTCGCTCCTGAGCATGGTGGTGGTGCACGTGGCCCAGGGGAACATCACGGGCGCCCTGGAGCTGTTCCGCTCGGCCCTGGCCACAGCTCTTGCCTCCTCGGTCGCCTCCTCCTCCTTCTCCTCTTGTGGCCAGTGCGTGAGCAGCCTGGCCCTGCTCCGCTGTCTGCAGTTCTACCCTTTCCTCTACGACCTCTCGCACAGCCACTTCTGCTCACGTGAGTAACCAATGCCCGTGCCGTAGATCCGGGACTGAGGCTGTAGATCCAGGGACTGAGGCTGTAGATCCAGGGACTGAGGCTGTAGATCCAGGGACTGAGGCTGTAAATCCAGGGACTGAGGCTGTAAATCCAGGGACTGAGGCTGTAAATCCAGGGACTGAGGCTGTAAATCCAGGGACTGAGGCTGTAAATCCAGGGACTGAGGCTGTAGATCCAGGGACTGAGGCTGTAGATCATGGACTGAGGCTGTAGTTCATGGACTGAGGCTGTAGATCCAGGACTGAGGCTGAAAACCCATGTTCAAAAACAAACTAAAATAATAAAAAGAATGGAAGAAGAGTAAAAAGAATTAGTCCTGGTCCATCTACTGGTATGTGACATCAATTCGTACTATTAGCTTGCCTTACAGACTACGAAAGACATGTGATATTTCCCCTTTAATACTTTTTTCTTATGTAATCCTAACATTGTGCATGTTTCTTCTTCCTTGTGCTTTTCAAATCTTTCTATTTTCTTCTCCCAGAAAGACAAATGCGTTGAAGTGGAGAAATATTGCCTCCTCAATTATTCATGCAGCAGAAATAAATAGTAATGCCCGTTTTAGCTGAGCCTATTTTTCTCCTCAAAGCTAAAAATTGCCGCCATTGACTATTCTGAGCACAGAGCCTCCCACGGCACCAGGTCTCTGAAAGAAACCACATCCACGGCAAATGTTTTCTTCTTATTTGTGCTCGGTTTTTCCCTTTTAAAGTTGTCTGCAATAAAATAGGAATTTGAACGTTCACCTAAACACAGAATTGATCTGCATGTTGTTCCAATGTGCATGTGGTATACTTGTTTATGTTGTTAAAATACCGTCCGCGGTATTTTTGGACTATAAGACGCAACCTTTTTTCCTGCATTTTGAAGGTGCAGCTTATGGTAAGGTACGGCTTAATTTAATTATTTTCTGTATAACACTAGTAGTGTAAATATCACCATAGGTTAAAATGAAAAAATACAATATAATTTTTTTTAAGTCAGAATGTCCTCGGATTAAGATAAAAACCACTCGATTCAAGCAATTATTACCTGATATATTAATATTTTTTGCAGTGTGTCTTTCCTGTACAAAGGAACAAAGTTTGTAACGTGGTTAAAACCATAATGTCCTTAATGTCTCCGTATTCTATAATGTGAGTATATATTTAAAAAAGTATTTGTAACATTACATTTTGTTGTGTGTTTCTCACAGAGGGAGGGGTGTGTCTGGCAGAGGAGGACCTGGGCATCCAGCTGGAGGAGTGGGAGTCCAGTGAGGAGAGAGCAGACTCCCAGAGCACCGCGGATCTGGACGACTCACTGCTCTTTGAAAGTATGAGGTTCAGTGTTGTAGTCCATAGAGGCTGACAAATCTTGTTTTAAGACAGTCAGGATGTGCTCAGATTAAGATGAAAACACAGCATTTATTACCTCATAGTTTATTATTTTTTGCTGTGGATCTGCCTCCTTGACTAGTAATTATTGGTATCGGTACTGAGAGACATGGTACGACTGTTAACGCTCTCCTGTTCAGAGGTCATCATGGACAGTAATGGCTCAGAGGAGGTGGGGGCCCCGCAGCAGAAGGCCTCCCCTGGGCTGGGGGCCGTGCCCATGGGTGCCGTCTCTGAGGGGGAGGAGGAGTGGCAGCTGAAAGAGGAACTGATGGGGGCCTTTGAGGGGGCTCTGGACGCCAGCGGCAAACGAAGCGACCTGCGCGGCATCCGGGTCCTGAAGACTGAGCGGGCGGCAGGGGCCCCCTGCTTTGGAAACTGTGAGGACGACGAGGGCGCCGAGTGGGTGAGTGCATCACGATATGTGTTTATCAACTCTCAGGCTTCTATTATCCTGGTGCTCAAGTGGAAAACCTGCAAAAAAAACTGTCTTCAAGACTTCGCTTTCTCAGGAGTGGAGACTGTTGGCTGTGAGCTCAATGTATTCTTGTATCGCCCTAAATCACAACAGTAGTTATCTCGGAGGACTTTACAAAACCGTTGAATTCGCCAACACAGATCTGATAATCAATCAGTTCAAACACAGGAAATGCAATGATAAAAACCACATTGAGGCACTGGTCCTTAAGGGACAGAGAGCGATGTTCATAAATGTTGATAAAAGTCCATAAATGTTTCATAAAATAATAAGCTTTAAAATGAGGTATAACATGCCTTGGTAGCTCGTCCTAAGTAAAAAACATTATTCTGCATTGGCTCCCACTTATTTTAACAGAAGCAGCTGCTGTGTCTCGCTGGTGTAAGAGGTATAATAAACATATATATACTTGGAAATAGCACATCTTCACTTATTGTTCACTTATCCTCATTCCTACTGTTCTGTCACTTGTCATGCAACACTGACATTTCCCCACTGTCGGACCAATAAAGTGTCTTTATTAGTATCTGTAATTTGAGCATTTAGGAAAAGATAAAAAGATAAAATATTTTTGTAATTCAACCTTATTTCCACTTGTTCATCTTACACTGAGGCCTTCTGCTGTGTTTCAGATCACGTTCCAGGTGAAGCGAGTGAAGAAGGCCAAGGCTGAGAGCTCAGAGGGAGCAGGGGGCTACGACGAGGGTCCGACCTCAGAGGCTCTGCCCGGACAGTCGGTGTTAGAGATCAGCGGACCCACCATCCCCTCGCCAGGACCCTCCGGTGAGAGCTCCACGTCACCGCAGAAATTACCAAGAAACTCAAAATGCTGTTAATTGACTTGTAATATTTTATTCTATTCATAACTTGAACCAAGCCCATGTACACTGCAAAATATGATCAAATATAAGGTAAATCGAGTGGTTATTATCTTAATCTGAGCACATTCTTGTCTTAAAGTAAGATTGGCGACTCAGTGACTTCTCAGCAAGGAGGTCCTGGGTTCGAATCCCGGTCTGAATAGGTTTCCTCCGGGTGCTCCCGTTTCCCCTACCACTGAAAATATGTACAATAGTTATGGGTGAATGAGTATGTGTTTGTGAGTGCGACTGTGGGACGATGGATGAAAATTAGCCCAAGGATAAAATCTAGAGTGATGTGTTCATTAACATGTGCTGTCCCAACCAAATAAACAATACATTCTCCAATGGGACAAAGCCATTTAGTCTTCAAGAACTGTTGCTTTGTTTTCTCGTTCCAAGGGAGACATTTCTTTTATCTTAAAAAAAAAAATCTGTTTTAAGGCAGTCAGAATTAAGTTACATTCAGCCATTTATTTTTCATCACTTTTTGCAGTGTAAATGGACACTAATCTCATATGAGAGTTCTACAACTTTGTAGTAGTTGATTGTATTTAATGGTGCCTTTTAAGACACCCAAGGACGTCTTACAATTGAATAAAAATAACTTTTACTTTTACCTTAAAAAAGGTGGGTTTTTGTGTTAAGATTAAGATGAACATTAAGGGATTTTTTTCGTGCCCAGTGGGGACTAGCGTCGCAAATTAACGACAGTAGGAATGAGGAGCACACAGCAAAAGATAAGTTAATAATAAGTCGAACTAACATGAAGAAGAAGCAAGACTTAAGTAAAAAAAAAAAAACAGATTTCAGAATGATAAGGAGCAAGAAATATATGGTTTTTCAGAGATCAGCAGTGGCAAAAACACTGGAAACAAATGAAGAGAGGGAATTTTTTCTCTCTTCATAATATACAGTTGTATTCACGCATGAGTGACACCAAGGTTGATGTGTTGTGTGCAGGCCGTTGGAGGGACTATCACAGTCTGGGCTGGCCTGGTCCAGAGGAGTGCCAGAGGACCCGCCGAGTGGACCTCACTACGGTGCCAAGCACCTGGCTCGCTGTGTCGGCCAAGAACATAGAGTGAGTCCTGTTGCACTATTCACTGAGGATGAATGGTACGTGATGGAGGAGAGGTGTTGGGTCAGAGAGTGTTTTGTTTGTGTGTGTGTTTGTCTGTCTCTTCACTACTTTGATGGTTTAAGATTTTATTGCCTCATGTGATTGTTTCTATCTTATTTTGTTAAGCACTTACCCGTATTTTCTGGACTTTAAAATGATTATAAGCTGCAGGCTCTAATTTTTAGAAAGAAATTGAATTTTGTACTTGTACAAGCCGCACCTGTCCCACATTGTAATATTGAAAAATGTAGCTCAAAATGTTTATCCTTTCTTCCTTTTACTGTGAGTAATATGAGTAACAGTAAGAAGTGGGGATAAAATAAATTTGGTTTCACCTGTATGTATAAAGCCTATTCCTTTGTCTTTTGTACATAAGTTTTACTACTACTACTACAATACACCTGGTTTGGGTTGTGACTGCTCCTTCTCCCCTCAGCATCACAGAGCACATAGACTTCGGCACTGCGCTCCAGGAGCCTGCTGCGGAGCCCCTCTGTAACGCTAACCTGGCAGCTAGCATGCACACGCTGGACCACCTGGGGGGCGTGGCCAACCGCGGCGCCATCCACTACACCGGGGAGAGCCAGCTCAGAGAGGTACCACACAACCACCCAGCACCACTTCTATCTCCTGCTTTTATGTTTATTCTATTTGAAACAGATCCAACACTGAAACGGGATTTAATGTCAGGATTAAAAAAAAGAATCCGTTTTTATAAGCGCTTTTTTTCACTCTCAAAGATGCTTCTCATGTCATCATTCATTCACTCCATACACTATGCTGCTGATTAACTACTATTGTAGCCACATTAGTAGTTGCCCCACCTTTGGCAACTGGTAATAATAATTATCTTTATTTGTATAGCACTTTTAAAAACCATGTTTACAAATCACTGAACAGTCAGCATGATAAACAATAAAACAGTCATAATGCAAAGTCAATATAATTAGATACAATGGATACAGGAAAAGCAGACAGAGCAAAACACAAGAAGAGAGACACAACAAAGTCAAAGCAGACATTAAAATACAGCATGTGAAGATTAAAAACTAGCAGTTAAAAGCTGTTTTATAAAAGTGGGTTTTTAGAAGTGATTTAAAAGAGGATACTGATGGTGCCAGCCTTATCTCCTCGGGCAGGTCGTTCCAAAGTCGAGGAGCCCGGACAGAGAAGGCTCGGTCTTTCGTCCGGAGCCTCGACCTTGGAACAGTCAACAGGGACCTGCCCGAGGATCTAAGGCTGCGGGGGGGCTCGTAGGGGGTTAAAAGTATAAATATAGCTGGGTGCCAGACCTAAACGAGCTTTAAAAGTAATCAGTAAAATCTTAAAATCAATTCTAAAACGCACAGGGAGCCAGTGGAGGGACGCTAAGGCAGGGGTGATGTGCTCCCTTCTGTTAAAACCAGTGAGAAGTCTGGCTGCTGCGTTCTGAACCAGTTGGAGGCGGGAGAGGGGTTTAGCGTCAAGACCGGAGAGGAGTTAGTTGCAGTAATCGAGGCGGGAGAAGATGAGGGCGTTAACTACTTTATGGAGATCGGGAGGAGTGAGAATGTTTTTTATCTTGGAGATGGTGCGGAGGTGAAAGAAGCAGGTTTGGGTGGTTTTTTTGATGTGGGAGCGGAAGGTGAGGTCACAATAAAAAATGACACCGAGGTTACGGGCGGTGGGAGTGATGTTTGAGGACAGGGGGCCGAGGTGGGTTTGGATGTGGGATATTGATGAGGAGTACTTCACATTTGAATGTGTTGCGCTGTAGAAAGTTATGGGCCATCCAACGGTTCACATCATTAAAACAGTCGACAACAGCAGCCAGACTTTCAGGGTTGTTTAGTCTCAGCGGGAGGTACCTGTATATCTGTGAAATTGAACATTTCAAAGTGTTCCCAGAGGTCTCCCATCACAGTACGATAAACATGAATAGACATGTATTTAAAAGTATCTAGCTACACTTTATATACAGATATATTCTAGAAATCATGAATTAACCGCAACGGAACTTACCTTTGATATGATAATATACCATATGTCATATACATCTAGCTGGTTCCTTGTCGTCAAATCAGTTCTATCTCTAGTTTTCACATGCGTGTATTTTGGGCCTTCGTCAAATCTTTAGATCTGCTTGTTCAGACCGAAAAGTGAAAAGGAGAGTTTGAGTTGAAGTTTATTTAAGTAAAGCCCCTTGAGATGAATCCTCTCATTACTGAGGAGGTCCTAAACATAAACCAACTTACATACAGGAACATTTACAGAGCGTTAAGCATAAACAAATAAATAAGGACCACCATCACACAGCACAAGTGTCAAAGTATTTCTCAAAACAATGTGGTCTTATTAGTTTGTGTAAGTCAGAGGCTGAGCTTTCATATCCTTCTTTGGATTAAGAACAAAATGTCTGGAAAACCTGCTAACTGAAGTACAGATTAATGGTGAGCAACCTTCCTTTGTTATGGTCCCTCATGGTTTTGGCGCTTATTATGTAAAGACTATTTTCGTTGATAGTTAATGGGTTTGAGAATATAGAACACATTGAATCTTGCAGAATAAAAAAAAAACAAATATCTATCAAACAAAAATGTGAATTCAACCAAAGTCTTACTAATAAATCCTTAGATGTTAGATTAAAAGTCCCAATGCCTTAATAACAGGCTTCCCCTGTGTCTCCTGCCGGAAGGAGCAGAGAAGGAGCACATTTCTCCAGTGGAAGCAGCTTTGGATCACTCAAAAGACCACTCACATTTCAAACCAACATCACACAAACATATCAAGAAGATAAACTGAGTATCTGACTATTTACTTGTAAGTTTTTCCCAGGTCTGTAGAATTGTGTACACATTATACAGTGCTATAGATCGGCTTTCTGACTTCATATTAACGGAGCTTTCCCCTGGGGTTGAGGAAAAAAACTGCATCTTTAAAAATGTTAAGTCTGCATGAGAAGTTCAGGGCCATGATTTGTTCCCAGTCCAAACCTCCGCTGGCCTCACGCTGTCGTCCGTGTCGTCCCTGTGCACAGGTGCTGCAGAACCTGGGGAAGGACAAGTTCCCCCCTCAGTCCTTTGAGCAGGTGGGGACGCGCATCGCTAAAGTGCTGGAGCGGGTGAGAACCTTTTTGGACTGTTGTAAATGAAAAAGTTGATGGCTAGTTATACCGTATTTTTTGGATTGTTATAAGTCAGAGTTTTTGTCATAGTTTGGCCAGGGGTGTGATTTACTGTATACTCTGGAGCAACTTATGTGTGAAATGATTACATGTTATATTTTATTCATCGTAAAATATCAAATAATTGCCCGGAGGGGAAGAAGAGGGAAGAAGGGGAAGAAGAGGAAGAAGGAGAAGGGGAAGAAGAGGAAGAAGGGAAAGAAGAGGAAGAAGGGGAAGAAGAGGAAGAAGAGGAAGAAGAGGAAGAAGAGGAAGAAGGGGAAGAAGAGGGAAGAAGTGGAATAAGATGAAGTAAGAAAGAATGTGTTGTAAGGGGCTGAAAGTGTTGTAAAGTGCTGAATTGTGTTGTAAGGTGTTGTAAAGTGCTAAATGTGTTGTAAAGTGCTGAATGTGTTTTAAAGTGTCTGAATGTGTTGTAAGGTGTTGAATGTGTTGTAAAGTGCTAAATCTGTTTGTAAGGTGTTTGAATTTGTTGTAGGTGCTGAATGTGTTGTAAGGTGTTGAATTTGTGTTAAAGTCTTAAATGTGTTGAATTTGTTGTAAAGTGCTAAATGTGTTGAATTTGTGTTAAAGTGCTAAATGTGTTGTAAGGTGTTGATTTGTTGTTAAAGTGCTAAATGTGTTGTAAGGTGTTGAATTTGTTGTAAAGTGCTAAATGTGTTGTAAGGTGTTGAATGTGTTGTAAAGTGCTAAATGTGTTGTAAGGTGTTGAATTTTTTTAAGTGTTGAATTTGTTGTAAAGTGCTAAATGTGTTGTAAAGTGCTAAATGTTTTGTAAGTGTTGAATGTGTTGTAAAGTGCTAAATGTGTTGTAAGGTGCTGTTAAGTGTTGTAAAGTGCTGTAAGTGTTGTAAGGTGCTGTAAGTGTTGTAAGGTGCTGTAAGTGTTGTAAGGTGCTGTAAGTGTTGTAAGGTGCTGTAAGTGTTTGTAAGATGTTGTTAATGTATTGTATGTGTGGTAATGAATTGTTAGTGTGGTAATGTGTTGTATGGGGTAATCTGTTGTACTGCGTCCAATGTAAGTCTATGGGAAAAAGTGCTTGAACTTGTGTAAATATCTGAAAAAGTGCTAAAGGTGGAAGTGTGAAAAGTAATAGCAATAATGAGACGGTGAAGCGGTCGTAACGATGTATAATTTGTTGAATTTGGTGAAAGCGTTTTGATGAGTTGAAAAGTGCCAAAATCTGGCGGAAGTGGAGAAGAATAAACAGTAGGAGAGCATATAGTGGCTGCATAGTCTATGCAGCCACTCAACTAGCAATGGTACAATGGCTGAAGCCATTGTGAGTGGCTGCATAGATGTTGGAAGGGTTAGTGATGAAGAAGGAAGAGGAAGGGGAAGAGAAGGAAGAAGAAGAAAAAGGGAAGAAGAGGAAAGAAGAAGAAGGAAGAGGAGGAGGAAGAAGAAGAAGGGGAAGAAGAAGGGGAAGAAGAGGAAGAGAAGAAGAAGAGGAAGAAGAGGAAGAAGGGGAAGAAGAGGAAGAAGGGGAAGAAGAGGAAGAAGTGAAGAAGATGAAGTAAGAAGAATGTGTTGTAAGGGGTCTGAAAAGTGTTGTAAAGTGCTGAATGTGTTGTAAGGTGTTGTAAAGTGCTAAATGTGTTGTAAAGTGCTGAATGTGTATTGGGAAGTGTCTAAATGTGTTGTAAAGTGCTAAATGTGTTGTAAGGTGTTGAATTTGTTGTAAAGTGCTAAATGTGTTGTAAGGTATTGATTGTTTTGTAAAGTTGCCAATTGTGTTGTAAGGTGTTGAATGTGTTGTAAAGTGCTAAATGTGTTGTAAGGTGTTGAATTTGTTGTAAAGTGCTAAATGTGTTGTAAGGTGTTGAATTTGTTGTAAAGTGCTAAATGTGTTGTAAGGTGTTGAATTTGTTGTAAGGTGCTAAATATGTTGTAAGTTGTTGAATTTGTTGGTAAGGTGCTAAATGTGTTGTAAGGTGGTATATAGTGTTGTAAGGTGTTAGAATTTGTTGTAAAGTTCTAAATGTGTTGTAAGGTGTTGAATGTGTTATAAAGTGCCTAAATGTGTTGTAAGGGGTTGATTTGTTGTAAGGTGCTGAATGTGTTGTAAGGTGTTGAATTTGTTGTATCGGTGCTAAATGTGTTGTAAGGTTTGAATGTGTTGTAAAGTGCTAAATGTGTTGTAAGGTGTGAATTTGTTGTAATGTGCTAAATGTGTTGTAAGTGCTGCAAGTTTTGTAAGATGCTGTAATGTATTGTATCTGTGGTTAATGAATTGTTAGGTTGTGGTAATGTGTTGTATGGGGGAGTAATCTGTTGTACTGGTCCAATGTAAGTCAATGGGAAAAAGTGCTTGAAACTTTTGTTAATATTTGAAAAAGTGCTAAAGGTGGAAGTTTAAAAAGTAATAGCAATAATGAGACGGTTGAAGCCGGTCGTAACGATGTATAATTTGTTGAATTTGGTGAAAGCGTTGAGGAGTTGAAAAGTGCCAAAATCTGGCGGAAGTGGTAAGAAGAAGAAGAGAAGAAGAAGAAGAAGAAGAAGAAGAAGAAGAAGAAGAATAAACAGTAGGAGAGCATTCTATAGTGGCTGCATAGTCTATGCAGCCACTCAATAAACAGTAGGAGAGCATTTCTAGTGGCTGCATAGTCTATGCAGCCACTCAACTAGAAATGGTACAATGGCTGAAGCCATTGTGAGTGGCTGCATAGATGTTGGAAAGGGTTAGTGATGAAGAAGGAAGAGGAAGGGAAGAAGAAGGAAGGAAGAAGAAAGAAAAGGGAAAAGAGAGGAAAGAAGAAGAAGGAAGAGGAGGAGGAAGAAGAAGAAGGGGAAGAAGGAGGGGAAAGAAAGAGGAAGAAGGGGAAGAAAGAGGAAGAGAAGAAGAAGAGGAAGAAAGAGGAAAGAAGGGGAAGAGAGGAAGTAGGGGAAGAAGAGGAAGAAGTGAAGAAGATGAAGTAAGAAGAATGTGTTGTAAGGGGGCTGAAAAGTGTTGTTAAAGTGCTGAATGTGTTGTAAGGTGTTGTAAAGTGCTAAATGTGTTGTAAAGTGCTATAAATGTGTTGTAAGGTGTGGAATGTGTTGTAAAGTGCTAAAATGTGTTGTAAGGTGTTGAATTTGTTGTTAAAGTGCTAAATGTGTTGTGTAAGGTGTTGAATGTGGTTGTAAAGTGCTAAATGTGTTGTAAAGTGCTAAATTGTTGTAAGGTGTTGAATTTGTTGTAAAGTGCCTAAATGTGGGTGTAAGGTATTGAATTTGTTGTAAGGTATTGAATGTTTTGTAAGTGCTAATATGTGTTGTAAGGTGTTGAATGTGTTGTATGTGTTGTAAATGTGCTAAATGTGTTGTAAGGTGTTTGAATTTGTTGTAAAGTGCTATATGTGTTTGTAAGGTGTTGAATGTGTTGTAAAGTGCTAAATGTGTTGTAAAGTGCCTAAATTTGTTGTAAAGGTGTTGAATTTGTTGTAATAGTGCTTAAATGTGTTGTAAGGTGTGAATGTGTTGTAAAGTGCTAAATGTGTTGTAAGGTGTTGAATGTGGTTGAAAGGTGTTGAATTGTTGTAAAGTGCTAAAATGTGTTGTAAGGTGTTGAATTTGTGTTAAAGTGCTAAATGTGTTGTAAGGTATTGAATTTGTTGTAAGGTGCTGATAATGTTTAGTAAGGTGTTGAATTTGTTGTAAAGTGCTAAAATTTGTTGTAAAGTGCTAAATGTGTTGTAAGATGTTGAATTTGTTGTAAGGTGCTAAATCTGTTGTAAAAGTGCTAAATGTGTTGTAAGGTGTTGAATGTGTTGTAAAGTGCTGAATGTGTTGTAAAGTGCTAAAATGTGTTGTAAAGTGCTGAATGTGTATTAAAGTGCTAAATGTGTTGTAAAGTGCTAAATGTGTTGTAAGGTGTTGAATTTGTTGTAAAGTGCTAATTGTGTTGTAAGGTATTGAATGTTTTGTAAAGTGCCAAATGTGTTGTAAGGTGTTTGAATGTGTGGTAAAGTGCTAAATGTGTTGTAAGGTGTTGGAATTTGTTGTAAAGTGTTAAATGTGTTGTAAGGTGTTGAATTGTTGTAAAGTGCTAAATGTGTTGTAAGGTGTTGAATTTGTGTTAAAGTGCTAAATGTGTTGTAAGGTGTTGAATTTGTGTTAAAAGTGCTAAATGTGTCGTAAGGTGTTGAATTTGTTGTAAGGTGTTGAATTTGTTGTAAAGTGCTAAATGTGTTGTAAGGTGTTGAATGTGTTGTAAAGTGCTAAATGTGTTGTAAGGTGTGAATGTGTTGTTGTAAAGTGCTAAATGTGTTGTAAGGTGTTTTGAATGTGTTGTAAAGTGCTAAATGTGTTGTAAGGTGTTGAATTTGTTGTAGGTGCTGAATGTGTTGTAGGTGTTGAATTGTTGTAAGGTGCTAAATGTGTTGTAAAGTGCTGAATGTGTTGTAAAGTGCTACATGTGTTGTAAAGTGCTAAATGTGTTGAAAGGTGTTGAATTTGTTGTAAGTGCTAAATGTGTTGTAAGGTATTGAATTTGTTTGTAAGGTGCTGAATGTGTAGTAAGGTGTTGAATTTGGTCCTGTTGTTAAAGTGCTAAATTTGTTGAATTTTGTTTTAAAGTGCTAAATGTGTTGTAAGGTGTTCAATGTGTTGTAAAGTGCTAAATGTGTTGTAAGATGTTGAATTTGTTGTAAGGTGCTAAATGTGTTGTAAGGTGTTGAATTTGTTGTAAGGTGTTGAATTGTGTTGTAAGGTGTTGAATTTGTTTTAAGGTGTTGAATGTGTCGTAAAGTGCTAAATGTGTTGTAAGATGTTGAATGTGTTGTAAGGTGCTAAATGTTGTTGTAAGGTGTTGAATTTGTTGTAAGGTGTTGGAATGTGTTGTAAAGTGCTAAATGTGTTGTAAGGTGTTGAATTTGTTGTAAGGTGTTGAATGTGTTGTAAAGTGCTAAATGTGTTTTTTTGTAAGGTGTTGAATGTGTTGTAAAGTGCTAAAATGTGTTTGTAAGGTGTTGAATGTGTTGTAAAGTGCTAAATGTGTTGTAAGGTGTTGAATTTGTTGTTAAAGTGCTAAATGTGCTGTAAGGTGTTGAATTTGTTGTAAAGTGCTAAATTTGTTTTTTAAGGTGTTGAATTTGTTGTAAAGTGCTAAAATGTGTTTTTGTAAGGTGTTGAATGTGTTGTAAAGTGCTAAATGTGTTGTAAGGTGTTGAATTTGTTGTAAGGTGGCTAAATGTGTTGTACGGTGTTGAATTTGTTGTAAAGTGCTAAATGTGTTGTAAGGTTTTGAATGTGTTGTAAAGTGCTAAATGTGTTGTAAGGTGTTGAATGTGTTGTAAAGTGCTAATGT